ACATATACTTGTTAAGAACATTTATATATGAAAAATTAAAAGGTCAACTAGACAGGTTAAGGGTAAGTCATAACAAAGGAAAAAATATTAAAGTACACAAAAACAAATGTGATTACCACTCTGGACAGTAAATCAGTACTACCAGGGTAGGTTAAGTGTAAGTACAAATTGTTTTTGAACACATAAAGGGGGTTTCAATTTTCGTATAGCCAAGGCTTCAATAAACCTTAGTATACGTCCTTGAAGGCTTTTGTACAACACAACAAATGATGATTTGATATCAACCTTATGACCCGTCTCAATCAAATGTTTCGCAATGGATGATGATGTCTGTCTATCCTGTGGTCTTATTTCACCATTGGAATTCATCTGATTTTGCAACCATTTTGGTATATGTTCACCCACCCTTAATTGCAAATCACGATTGCTCCTCCCTACGTACGTGTTTCCACACATACATGTAAATTTATAGACACAATGGGATGTGACACAATCGTTTTCATGCTGTTTGGGCTTTTGGTGAAACATAGACCTTGTCTTTTCGATAATGACAAGTTGGGCTGCATAAAATGTCCGGTTGATAGCTAATTTAAGTCTCTGTTTCAACATGAGACTATTTGTGTCACCTCTGAATGGTAGCGTAATATAAACTCGCTTTTTGGGTGCCAGAAGCATCATAGGTCTAGTCATATTGCAACCCTTCCAGCGGTTTATGAACTTCAAAGGGTAACCATTATTGAATAACGCATCAGTCAGGAGCTTCATCTCTACTTCAATAGTATCACTAGTACAAATACGATTGATTCTATTGAATAAGCTCTTTATTAAACCACGTTTATAATGAATAGGGCAGTGACTATGAAAGTTAAGATATTGTCCTGTCCATGTTGGTTTTCTATATGTAGCACGTTTGATGGAACCATCATCTCTCCTAGTAATCAGGATGTCAAGAAAAGGAAGTTGGTTGTTCTTCTCTTCTTCACATGTAAGAGAAATGTGGTTTTGACTACTATTGAATTCTTCTAACAAGTGGCTTATGTCTTCAATTTTATCACCTATGATTATTATGTCGTCTACATATCGTTTATACAGACTCATCTTTCGAATTGAGTCTCCAACTAAATTTTCCACATATCCCATGAACACATCAGCTAGCAATGGTCCTAGAGGGCTGCCCATAGCTACACCATCTATTTGTCTGAAGTGTTCACTTTCAAATGTGAATTTTACATTGTCTGTACATAATAATAATAAATCTTTAAGAGTTTTAACAGGAAAAGGTAGTGGAAGGTTTTCCGACGTAATAAAGTCACACAAAATATCAATGGTTTTCCTAAGAGGTACATTTGTAAATAAAGTGTTTACATCAAAGGAGCACATTGTCTTTGTCTTTATATTTATATCCTTTAAGTAATTGATTAATTCGAATGAGTCAGTCAAAGAATACTTACAATATTGATTTCTGATAGGGTTTAATAATTTTGTAAGCCATTTTGCCAGGTTGTGTGTAGGTGACCGACACATAGATAGAATTGGACGTAGGGGGGTATTAGGCTTATGAATTTTCGGTAATCCATATAAATTAGGATATGCCGAACCCATAGGTTTTAATAAATTAAACTCATCTTTGTTAATAGCATTCATGTTTAACAATTTCACAAGATTCGAGTTCACTTTCTTTTCTAATTTACGTAATCCATAAAAGTCAACATCAGCCAAAAATTTGCTTTTATGGATTACGTAAATTAGAAAAGAAAGTGAACTCGAATCTTGTGAAATTGTTAAACATGAATGCTATTAACAAAGATGAGTTTAATTTATTAAAACCTATGGGTTCGGCATATCCTAATTTATATGGATTACCGAAAATTCATAAGCCTAATACCCCCCTACGTCCAATTCTATCTATGTGTCGGTCACCTACACACAACCTGGCAAAATGGCTTACAAAATTATTAAACCCTATCAGAAATCAATATTGTAAGTATTCTTTGACTGACTCATTCGAATTAATCAATTACTTAAAGGATATAAATATAAAGACAAAGACAATGTGCTCCTTTGATGTAAACACTTTATTTACAAATGTACCTCTTAGGAAAACCATTGATATTTTGTGTGACTTTATTTCGTCGGAAAACCTTCCACTACCTTTTCCTGTTAAAACTCTTAAAGATTTATTATTATTATGTACAGACAATGTAAAATTCACATTTGAAAGTGAACACTTCAGACAAATAGATGGTGTAGCTATGGGCAGCCCTCTAGGACCATTGCTAGCTGATGTGTTCATGGGATATGTGGAAAATTTAGTTGGAGACTCAATTCGAAAGATGAGTCTGTATAAACGATATGTAGACGACATAATAATCATAGGTGATAAAATTGAAGACATAAGCCACTTGTTAGAAGAATTCAATAGTAGTCAAAACCACATTTCTCTTACATGTGAAGAAGAGAAGAACAACCAACTTCCTTTTCTTGACATCCTGATTACTAGGAGAGATGATGGTTCCATCAAACGTGCTACATATAGAAAACCAACATGGACAGGACAATATCTTAACTTTCATAGTCACTGCCCTATTCATTATAAACGTGGTTTAATAAAGAGCTTATTCAATAGAATCAATCGTATTTGTACTAGTGATACTATTGAAGTAGAGATGAAGCTCCTGACTGATGCGTTATTCAATAATGGTTACCCTTTGAAGTTCATAAACCGCTGGAAGGGTTGCAATATGACTAGACCTATGATGCTTCTGGCACCCAAAAAGCGAGTTTATATTACGCTACCATTCAGAGGTGACACAAATAGTCTCATGTTGAAACAGAGACTTAAATTAGCTATCAACCGGACATTTTATGCAGCCCAACTTGTCATTATCGAAAAGACAAGGTCTATGTTTCACCAAAAGCCCAAACAGCATGAAAACGATTGTGTCACATCCCATTGTGTCTATAAATTTACATGTATGTGTGGAAACACGTACGTAGGGAGGAGCAATCGTGATTTGCAATTAAGGGTGGGTGAACATATACCAAAATGGTTGCAAAATCAGATGAATTCCAATGGTGAAATAAGACCACAGGATAGACAGACATCATCATCCATTGCGAAACATTTGATTGAGACGGGTCATAAGGTTGATATCAAATCATCATTTGTTGTGTTGTACAAAAGCCTTCAAGGACGTATACTAAGGTTTATTGAAGCCTTGGCTATACGAAAATTGAAACCCCCTTTATGTGTTCAAAAACAATTTGTACTTACACTTAACCTACCCTGGTAGTACTGATTTACTGTCCAGAGTGGTAATCACATTTGTTTTTGTGTACTTTAATATTTTTTCCTTTGTTATGACTTACCCTTAACCTGTCTAGTTGACCTTTTAATTTTTCATATATAAATGTTCTTAACAAGTATATGTGTGATCAGATTGTTCGAAATGTATTGCGCAAATATATCACATAATTCTGATAAACTACGTCTTCTCATTGCATTATCGAAATTTATCAAAGGGACTAATTGTTTTAAATGACAGTAATTGCCACAAAAGTATGGCTTAACAATCAACAGAATTCGAGGGCGCCAAACAAGCCTAGTAGCCAATACGCCACCCCTCTTAGGAATTTTCTTTTATCGGGTAACGGAAAGGCTGTAATCTACGTGACAAACCTTAACTTTACGAGCAAAGGCACCACCTTAAATTCAACAGTCTTAATAATTGCTTGGTTCCTCTATAGTTTAGGGTCATATACAAAATAACTGTAGTTTGCTCCGCTAGATGTATAAGTGAAGGGACGTTTTAAACAAGTTTGACCGTAATATACTAGCTGCTTTCGTACGGTGTGTGTGTAAGTAAATCTTGTCTCATAATTATTGTCATTGTCGTTCTCGTGTTCTTAACAAGCTGTTCGTAACCAGCTCTAGAGATTTACTTTAGACCAGTCTGATTTGGAGTTGCTACGAACTGTCAGCCGACAACTGAATTGACCTAATATTTTAATAACTGTGAGCAGTAACTGAGAGTATCAGTATATAAGACCACCTTCTGTAATCAAGTAAGTATCTCTATATGCCAGAACCTGAAAAATGCACTTGTTCTTTTGATGGAGTGATTTCTTAGATGAATGATTATGTTAGCTCTTATTACTAATGCTACTTTTATTTTTAACAGACATTTGAAGGTGAAAACGCTTGGCCGCGGGTATTTACTACTTCCTTCCAAAGTGAAACGCACATCTCAATCCAACAATAACCGTTTTCTTTTTAATTGTCTTTCCGCAGCCGACTTAGGGAAGTTCGATACGAGCATCGTTCGACCCCTTCATAAGCTGAAACTGACGGTTTGTTTGCGCCTCACTGATTTTCCGATTAAATCATAATTTAATCTCGCAGAGTGCCACGTTTGAAGTGATTACGAGCTCACCCAACCTGCGAACAGAACAAAGACTCTGTGGCCAAAGACCAATAAGCTGGATAATCTGATGCTTCCCGGCCGCGCTAACTAGAGAGAGAAATCGAAGTCTGGAACGGGGAAGTATATTCCGCAAGTATCCAGAAGCATGAACAATCCCGACCCATCTGGTCGGAAAGACACTCATTTATATACTGGTTCGTACACCCATTTTTAATTAATAACCAAAATAAATAACGTATATGAATATTTCATACAAGAACATATGTTATACAGAATAAAATGTCATAGGGGATGAATTAAACGGGATTAATATTGAATAAAAATTATAATGAATAAATCAATCAAATTTTGACCTTTCATCCCGTCATAGCACAGCAAGAACCTGGATTTCAGACCTGGCCAGTTTCTCTTTCGAGAAGACGAAGTTCACTCCTTACTCGATAAATGAATCATTATTAAGAGTGCATATGTTTTATGAAAATGCAAAACATTACAAATCCTGCAGAAATTTGTTGCCATAGCTTCTTTTTCAAACTGAGCCGGTTTTGTTTTAATGTATCAACACTCTTAGGAAACCCACTTTGGACTTCCGCCATTTTGCTTGTTTGTTGAAGGTGGTTTTTGTTGTTTTAATTACTATTTTAATGTGTTTGGTGATGGGTGGGAGGATCGATTGGTATATGGTTTATTCATGCTTGACGTATTATCATACTAGTGTGAGTGTCACACGGCCTTGTATGTTCCTGAAGATATACTGTAGCACTCACGATGATTCTTTGTTTGACTTGGCGATGTAAGTTAAGTGTAACGTTAAGTCGTTATATACCATTCTGAATTATTCGGCTTTGTCTACTTAACTGTCCCTCTGTTAGAGGAGGAGCGTCCCTTCAGATACTTAGCTTGTCTGACTACTCAGTATTCAGGTGTTTATTAGCATGGATTGTAAGATTTTATGTTAGGGGATCCCCGTAAAATCAAAAAAACTTATTATATATGATTTTATTTTAACCATTGCTCTCTAGCGTTTACCTTGTGGGGTTTGTATTTTACCTATTAACATGAAATATAACCCGGTAACTCCCTGGTTTTTCATTAAGTTCAGACCGCTCTTCTGGTTATATAACGTACACCATTATATTATTGTCTCCAGACTCAACCTAATCACTTGCAATAATTTTCTTCGAACAATGTTGAATAAAAAAACATGGTTAGAAATTTCATCCTCCTCATACAGAATAACCTAGACTATGGTTGTTCATGAGTTATCCACCCGGCTTTATTTGGGGTGCTGATATTGACATCCAGTCTATTGGGAAAGTCAAGTAGTTCTGTGTAGTATCGAATAACATCTTCAATGGCTTAATATATGTTTAGTGGTGCTATGTTACTTGGTAACAATGCTACTGTGGACTTGTTTGATTTGGAATATTTAATCTTAATGTGACTTCACTATGAACTTACTGAGAAAGCCGTATGCCTAGTACAAAGCGTGATCATTATGAGAGTTCTCTTAACTTCGCACTACGGATCATCAGTTTGAGTTAATATTGGCTGTTCAGTCTATGTAGACAGCACATCCTTTACTGACATGTCGGCATCCCACATAGTTGGCTGAGACAACCTTGTCGTTAAACCATATCTAAAACTCAGCCAAGATGATGGAACATCATGGTTATTAGACACTAACAGAGAGTGTTGAGTCGGTGTGTCATCGGTCTCAAGGGTTTGGTGCTAAAATCCCGGCGAGACTATAACCCCCATACCCATGAGACATAACGATCGATTTTTATCTGTCTTGATAATTTTATCGTGGGTCGGTACACATACGTGCCAGGTCGCTTGTTTACAATCTAGATTGGTATTAAATGCGACAACTAAAATCCTGGTTTCCAATTAAAATGTGATTTCGAATGCATGCTGTAGTGAAGTATGCTCTATCACTGCCTCCTATGTCGAGATTTGGTAAATCGGAGTGCGGGGATAGAATTGACTCTTAAACTGACATCGAGAAAGTTGGGCCAGTTTTTAACCAATCAGTGGACAGATTTCGGGGAATGGCTGGTTATAATTATCGAAATAATTCGTCAACAGGCAAAATTACTCTCTCATTTTTTGAAATTAACGGATTGGAAGCAACATTCTAGTCGGATTTAATGTCAGTTGTTAGTTTTTTATGCTTCCAACCAAAGCTTTGTACGATAAAGTGTTCCTGTTTAACTTGCCAATTTGTAAGCGGTTTTTTGCCTGTTCAATAAGTCGTTGGACTACGGATTTTTACAAATAATAATATTACATACTTTTCTGGGTAAAATTCGTATACGGACGATCGTTGAGTGATGCTTAAGTGATACTGAAAACGTCTACCTATTTTCTAGGGCCAAATGAGGGTGATAAATTAGTGCGAAGAATTAGGATTGAGATTTACAGCCGAATGCTAGTGTTAGAAATTAGATCTTCGGTTTTCATTACTAACTGACACCAGCTATCATGTCAGAGTGCTATTCGGCCATATGGATGAATGAATTTCGCGCCAAAATCGAATACTAGTTCGTCCACAAATCCTAGTGTCGGCCTTTTCTGTTCGCCAGATTTTATCATCTTATTGGGATGGTTATTATCTGATTGACTGGTAGCATCCGTTAACTTTTTCCACACCCCCTAACATTTCTCACCAACAACTGTTGCATCCGGATCTAGATCGGCTTCGTTTTAGAATGGTCTCCATCCTAGAGTTCTGTGAGGCTTGATTGAGGGACCCATACTTATTACATTCTGGCTGAACGTTTAACTTGTTTGATAGAAATCAGAGTGTCCTTTAAAATACTCAGTGTTGATCCTCCAAGAACGCCAATATCTTTGTCAACAACGATGTTCTTACACTTTCAAGAGTTTCCCTGTCGAAAGCGAGTTGATTGTCTCCTGAATCAATCGACTTGATGATGTGGCAGAATCCACAAAATCAGTGAGTTTGGCTTATGATACTGTTTACATCCAGCAACTGCTGCGTCATTACACTTGATAATAACATCTATCATAGTTGTCTTGTATCCCATTTTCAGCTGAGGTGGATCAAGTGGATCATCTACGTCACCATAATGGACAACCACAGCCTCCAAGATATGAAATCGTTACAGTACAACATGTGTAGAGTGGTGACTCACTGGTTAAGGCTTCCAACATTCAGCCATCCAGGTTCAAACATTACCCCATCTGTGTCGGCAACCGATTAGTTTCAGTAGCCTTCACACTTACAGTGTGGCTTATACCCATGTATCTGATGAATAAGTCAATAGATTGTCACATTTTAAAATCACTTTGTACTGGATCAGAAAAGTCATGACAAATATTTTGATGTTTTAAAAATATAAAACCTTGACCACAGATTTAACATCGTTTTATAATTTTGATTTTTCGAGCTCGTTTTCTTGAGGGATTTTTATCATTTGATTTTCCAATGAGGTTCATAGAACTTCGACACCATTGCCGTTTCAATTATTTACGGACTTCTCGTGATAAACGATGTAAACATGTTAACTGTTATTACACTCTTTATCGCATGACTAGTTATATTGCTTGTTATCAAGAAGTTTGTTCTAGGTGCGTTACGCTCGTTAAACGTTTCCTAAACATGGGAAAATATAGTTGTGTTTCATTAGTTTTCCTCTCTTTTAAACAGGATATTGTAAACACCAAACTATGTCAGATCAAATGGTTGATCCTAATGAGCCATCAGCGTACATTGCAAATGCTGATGGTACATACACAGCCATACCGTTCAGTCAGACTGAAGATGGGCAAGTGGTATTGCAGCTAAATGAGATGGGTTTGTCCAATGAAGGTGAAGAAATGGTTCTAATTGCTGCTGATGACACAGCGACATTGGAAAGTCTGATTGCTTCGGGTGCTGTTACAGCTATTGCTGCTGAGAATGGTACAGAGTATCTACAGGTAATCTTCCAATATTTTCAATGCATAATACCTTTTAGTTCACAGATCCTGGTATGGAAGGGGCTCAGGTCATCGAGTTACCAGCAGATCAAATGCAACTTTGGGATCCGAATTCCAAAGCATACTATGATGCATCAGGTATAGGACCTGGTTTCGTTGCTTTAACAGGGCAATCTAGTGGTGTCACTTACCGTTGTCCATCTTGTCCAGCTATGTATGCTAATGCTAACGCCTTTACTAAACACATGCGCGAAAAACATTTCGTTAAAGTTTACACATGTCGTCAATGTGAAGAGTTTTTCGAAACTCTCAGTCAGTTATTTCTGCATGCTCGACGCAGTCATGTTGATCCTAAGAAACCAAAACGAAATCCGGCCAATTTCAAATTTCATTGTGACCAGTGTAACTATATGACGAATAATGGTGGGACAATGGAACATCATAAACGGGCACATACAGGAGAAAAACCTTTTGTTTGTGATGTTTGCAATAAACGTTTTGCTCAGAAAGCAAATATGAAAACTCATCGAAATCGACATATTCACCGGGACAAGATATTCCGTTGTGACACGTGTAATAAAGCTTTTTCATCTTATGACATTTACCTTGCTCATCTTCGAACAAGAGAACATGAACTTCGGGAACATTTCGCTATGATGGCATCTTCACAGGTGAGCTATATAGTATACATAATAGTATAATTTAACTAGTTGGCTTTAGAGTGTTTGGGTTGTGCAGTTACCTTCGATAGCATATATAACCTGAATAAGCATACAAGAAGCTGCCGTATTGTTCGTACTCTACAAACTAAATTTCGGTGTTTACCGTGTAATGCCTATGTCAGTGATGTGGCATCACTGAAAGCTCATGTAAAAGCCCACGAAGGCAGTCAAATCATATCGTGCCCTGTATGTGGTGAACGCGGATTCCCAGGTTTCAATCAACTAAATCATCATATTACAAGGGCTCACGCTTTGAAAGTTAATCGTCGCCACGTTTGTCGTTATTGTGAATCCACTTTCGAGATTAAAAAAGACTTAGATATGCACATTCGAAGTATGCACGCTGAAGAAAGAAACGCTCGTCAATCGAGGGGAGCTGTTGGTCGCCTGAAATGTCGATATAACCATTGTGAATTCACAACAAATTCGATAATGTTGTTAGATCGACATCATGATCAGCATCGACGTCAGGAAGAAGATGGGGAAGATGTTGGACTTGAACTTCCTCCTGCTCGTTACTCATACACAAAACGGAAAAAGCTAAAATTGTCCAAGCGAAATCGACTTGTTGATGGATACGAAGATGATGAGGATGCAGAGACTGGTGATGGCGAGGGAGATGATGACATGGCTGATGATGAAGATGATACTTATGAAGATGTTGGTGTAGATGGTAGTAAGTCCATTTTCTACATGATCAATTTTTTTATCCTTTAATTATTTTATATACATTGTATTATTGATGTGTATCCCTAATAATTGTTACCTTAATGTTATGTTCAAATACGTTTGATATTGTTTAATATCTGTTCGCCAACAGCGGTACAAGTGATATAACTATCCTTCAAAGGACAAGTATATTGCGTAGCAATTCGTTATGTATTCAAAAATCCAAAATATGATATCTAGTATTCAATTGTACTTGTCTTTGAAGCTTATCCTTCTAATGGTGGGACTCGTGGTTAGACTTACAGTTCAACGTAAAAGTGGTAAATTGGTTAATGAAGTTGTAAGCCTTAATCGACTTAGTCAAGTGTTACAAATTTCTTATTTCACTGGAATGGTAGTTGGGCTTTTGAATCACTCAAATCTCAACTAGTGGGCGTCAGGCTCAAACATTACCTACATACTTCGATTTTGAAAGCTAGGTAGTATCACAGGCTTTGCGTCTAAGTGTAATCTAAAGCTAAACTAAACTAAACCTTGCTACTGGGGTACATAGAAAATATCAGTCATCACATGATTTGGTCCTTCTTACTAGCACAGAAGTATATTAGAGAATGTCAAACGTAGCTAGACGAATATATGGTATCAATCACTGGCTATTAGCATGGGCCGTTCAGAAGGATGCAAATGTTCTGACCACTCCCCTATCAAACAACCGAAACAGTAGTTGGGCACCAAAGGAATATAACTTGAAGTCAATCGACATTTTCAATACTTTCTCTTGAGTCGGTGTCTTTTTCTTCCATTCGCTTGCTTATTTTGCTTTTACAAATTAGTTCTGTATTGTCAGCACTATTGTTAATCTTACTTTTCTTTCTGTTAATGTCCTATCGGTTCTTTCAAATGAGATTTAAACACTTCAGCCGATATGTGGTTTTGCACTAGGTCTGTTCATATGCTTTATATATTGACTTTCACCGGTATTCCTTTACAATCCATCAATCCAGGAATGTTATAATATAAAAAACCTGTTCAAATGTAAGTTCGAAAGGCTAACTTCACAGCTTACAATATCTGTGTATCCAAAATGTTTTTTTTTTGTGAAACCTATGTTAGTTTAGTCTCAGTCCGGTAACATGAATAACCCTCAAATAATGTACATCAAAACCGAGTAGATAAACTTGGTAAATAATTTACATTAAATCCCGTTAGGCTTTTATTTCTCATCCAGCAACATAAGAACCCCTACTGATTATAAGCAATAAAAATTTTGACAGCATACTTTACTGAATCTTTATCTACAATATTCATTTTAGTGTTTCTTGCATATTATGCATTTATTCAATTGTCATATGATCTTTTTAGACGTTACTAGACGTACTATTACTCTTATAAAATCCAATACTCGTAAAGTACAAGGCAATGAAGAATACACTTCAGGTAAGTGTTGATATTTTGATTCGATTCACTAATAAAAATTCTAGGTAGTACAGGTGGTGTTGGTGTTTTAAACGAAAGCAGTACAACTAATCGTCGTATGTCTAGGGCACGTCGTCTTCCGGCTTGGTATAAAGATTACGATACTGATTTTGTTATGCATGAAGAAGGTGTAATGGACAGGGAAGAAGTACAAGCTCAACTCCCACCAGGTATAGAATTAGAAGATCCATCTGCTGTAGATAAAGAAGATGTTCCAACAGAGGAGTGGAATATTGTTGTATATGATGATGATGATGACGAAGATGAAGATGAAGATAGTCCTATAGATTATGAAGATGAAGATAGTAATGTCATAAACGATAGTAGTACCTGTGATACTACTGGACTATTAAATGTACATGCTTTTGCATAATTAAGAAAACCCCTCCAGTATACAATATATATGTACAGGTTTGAATTAAGTTCATTATCCATCAGAATATGTGTACAGCTCTTTTAATCATAAAATATTTAAATATATGTATAATAAAAGGTTTTATAATTTGACACTTTCTAGTTTTTTATGTCTTTTCTGTTATTATTTCAGAGTATTTATTTACTTCATGTTTATATATTCCTGTTACAGTTTCTTTGTTATGACTGTTCGTTCTCATTGTATTTGGCACTTAGTTTTCTTTGCATAGAATAAGTAAAATTTTTAGATGTTTATCCTCCTATATTTTTCTTCTATGAATTCATTCTCAGCTAAAATTCATCAGTCATCATATATTTCTCATTAACTTGTGTATATATATATATATATATATATATATATATATATATATATATATATATATAGTGTGTGTGTGTGTGTTTTGTACTCCATGAATAAACTGGCAGCATTTATTCAATAGATCTTCGAAAGTTATTATTGGATGGTATAAATTACAAATTATTTAATCTAACAATGATGTCTAATTCAACTACATTTTTCTCCCTAAAAGATACATTTCTCGTAGCGTTCGATAGGTTCAGTTTATCAAAAAATATTGTCTTCGCTCGTTTGATAAGTGGTGAGAAGGGGGTTTGTGTTTTCACAAATAAGTTGTTTCTATAGTGTACAACACCCACCAAGAATTATTATACTAGTAGTAGTAGTCTGTATTGAAAAATCTTGGTCATAGTTAAGGTACTTTAACTAACAGTATACTCAGCTAATTAGGGTTTAGTTCATCTGTATTTATTAGTTTGTTGTTTACTCCTGATTGTACTAATAATTGCTCCATGATTACATTTTAAATTGTCGGCATGTTCTCATTAGATGAATCAATGTATCGCCCATGTATCCCACTTAGTAGAAAATTGATTGCACTCCTATCCACCTGATACAACAAAGGATTTTACTTTCATCCTTGTGTTTTCAACTAAATTTGCAAACCTGCGTCATTATTAGCCCTCAGTTAGCATGTTTCGAGTACACTGCCCGTGAGGTATATGAAATTAAAGTATATCTAGAGCTCTTGATGTAGCTTAAAATGCAGGATGGTCCTGTGTTTAGTTTCAGTAGGAATTGTAAATATCGATGTTTTTTGTTTTATTTCAAGATATGATCTCACCATGGTCACTCTTGTATTGGAAATTGAAGTTACTGCATATTTCCTGCCAGTAGTTTTTGCAATTTTATCGAAGAATTCATGATTGCCAGTCGAGATTTTATAAGCTGTACTCAGAATTTGACACTGGAATAGACGACGATGAAGGTAATTAAAATCAAAGCATTTTTGAAGGAGTTAGCTTTCCATGGAATAATTTAACTAAAAACTCTAGTCTGATCGTAGTTCACAGGCTACATAATTTATTATTTTATTTTAACACATAAATATTGGTACAAGGAGGCACCAAATAGATATGCGCCACACGAACCTCATTCGATACATGTGAGGGCTGTGATACTGCCCGGGTGCCCAAACCGAAGCAGGTGGTTTTCTTAGGGGGCCACTCCCCGAGCCTTCGACCTGAAGGTCTGATCCACAAGGCAATGGAAACTGATTTATGAACTTTAAAAGTTGACCTGAAGGTCTAATCCACAAGTCATTGGAACAACGTCAGGAGATGCAGTCCCATGGTAGCCGGTGACCAACAATTGATTCACACGCCATTTGTTCCCACAGGATGCTGGAGCCCATGTACACCATTGGTTTGGAATCCGGTTAAAGCGCCGGACATTCGCTTTTCGTCCTCTCATTTTCGTAAACAACAGTAATGCCACGAGAAGGCAGTGAGTAGGACTTCCCTGACAGAGGCTATATACGCGTGGTCATGTGAGAGCATTTCGAGAGGGAGAGCGGACTCTCCCCACTCTCGGCCATACCAGGGAATTCGGGGGCAGGCTACACAAATATTTAGTTCTCTTAAGTATATTTAAACCTGCTACGACATGTTGATACATGTTAATAATTTCTGGTCAAATTCATTTGAAATTCTGCTTTCGAAACATTTTCAAGTCGTAGTTAAGTAGCTGACAAAAACCTAACGGGGTAAAATAAAACCGTGTCATCCTACCTAACCTTTTTTCTCCATGGGTACTAACTCGTAGTTCATTGAATGCGACAAGAAATATCTTTTAATTAACAATCTGTAACAGAAGATACTATAATGTTAATCAAAATACAAATTTAGTTCTAGTGATGATTGCTTTGATGCTGAGTTCTTTCTATCCGAATAGTGACAGGATGATTGTTTCTTTCTGTGTATAACAACCCTGAAGACTCAAGTGATCTCTTAGATGGTCTTTATGAATTATATTAATGGAGAAGATTGGCTTGGTAGATATTTCTCAAAGTGATGTTTTTTCAATACGTTGGTGATTGCTTGAATTTGATGGATATAACCAATGGGTTGGTATCTGAAAGTGAGCGTTACTTCAAGATTTCAGCACTGGGAGTGGATCGATTTGGTTTCAAAATAGTTTTCGTATGATTGATAGTAAACCAGACGAAAAATATTACGTAGAAAATTTATTAAGGAAGGATTATTAACAGAAATTATATTTGACTATAAGAGCTCGCTTTCCATATGTGTTTGAAGTGTTTCACGAAGTCGAACTACTTAATCAACAGGTATTAGTTTATGTGTTGGCTTATCACTAATAAAAGTGTGACTAGATGAAAATGTGTACCCTACTATGGCTGGTACTTCGACGCGGTAGTCGGGATTGGCTTTTCTGACGATACAGTAGGGCTGTATTGGTTGAGAAACCTGTTTGTTCCAGCAGCATCCCTTCGCCATCCCTTGTTAATCAATTCTAACCTGCTATTCCGCATGTGCGGCTAGTTTTTACGTTATAAGCCTACGAAATATTACTCCTGTAATCGAACCAGAAGGTACATGTTGATGTTCTGAATGTTAGGTTTCACTCCCCGGGACTACAATTCTGTGGTGTTAGCTTATGCTATCTTTGAAACGTATGTGTAGTTATTTCACTATCCATAAAGTGCTTTGAAAGCTAGTTCAAACTGATTTTCAATTACTCAGTTTCTTCACGGTCTATCAACATCTTGAATGGTAGATTATAGTCAAGCCTCCAAGACGTACTTAAGTTAGTATTATTTTGTCGCAAATATTTCCGGAACATTGCTCCTGGATGATGACAGCTGGATTTTTGGTGTTTAGATCAAGCATTGTATACTAGATGAGGACCTGTTAGCTAACGAAGTTGTAAATTTTCATCGACTAAGGTAGTTGGAACATGTGCCACCTACGGTTAACCACAACCTACTGTATTTTATACTGGGTAGCATAACAGTAAATGAGGAGGAAGATGTAGGTGACCAAATAAAGACATGACATTAGTCCATAACGCCGTTGACTGTTCATTTAAATCGTATGGACAGATGGGATTTGAAAAGTGATATTTTATAGTTGAAGATGATAAGTAAAGTAATAAAACAGGATCATATTAATGTTTTACGTGGTTATTAAGTAAATAAAAGTGGAATATCAGATTAGATACATCAACATAAGTTGTTTTTATGATTGATTGTCCGATTGAAGATTGTTTTACTTAGGGATTTACACATTCACATAGTAAACTTGCACCCATCTCAATCCAATACGCTTGAGGCTTATTTGTTTTCAATGGAACAGCGACTATGAAATTTGTTGACATACCTTAAAGTGAAGCAAAATAACAATGATAAACATGTGATAAATGGATAGATATCATATAAAAACTAATGATACTGATCTTAGATGGTTGTAAGGAAATTGGTAGAAATAGGCTCAGTCATTCGAAGCTGTAAACAATAGAGTTTGAATGTGCCAGATCTGAGACTGTCACCTACCAATGGTATTGGAAGATGGTCACGGAATGTCGCAGCTTGGTTGCAGCGAGATATGTAAACAGACCATTGGGTACCGGTTTACTCGTCTGAAGGATAGGCGCTAGCTGCGGTATATAGAGGGCTGTGGGTTTAATCCTCAGTGTGGCTGTTAATGCACAATGTTCTGAAGTCTTACTCTAAAATTAATTGGCTGTTTATTGCTCCCAGATTTTGGAAGATTGTCATGTAAACTATAAAATGTCATTACTAATAGGTAACAAAACATGATATTTTTTTAATTCAGAAAAATAATAGGATTATTATTTGAGTTAAAGTAAATTTAACTATGAAATTTACTAAATGATAAAACCAAATATTTGTATGAAACTGATTTATGAACTTTAAATGTTGACCTGAAGGTCTAATCCACAAGTCAATGGGACAATGTCAGGAGATGCAGTCTCATGGTAGCCGGTGACCAATAGTTGGTTCATACGCCATTTGTTTCCTTAGGATCCTGGAGCCCATGTACACCAATGGTTTGGAATGAGGGTTTTCGAACTCGCCTACGTGGATCCTCTATATCCAACAACCCGTTTAAAGCACCGGACCTTCTCTCTTTGTCTCCAATTTCGTAAACAACACCCCCTGCCACGAGAATGCAGTGAGTAGGACTTCCCTGGCAGTGATTGTATGCACGTGGCCACTTGAGAGCATTTCGAGAGGGATAGAGAGTTGAATCTCCCCGCTCGGCCGTACCAGGGCATTTGGGGTCTGATTACATTACTTAATCTTGTTACTCTTCTTGGAGCATAGGTCTCCGACCATGATTTTGTCCTTAGCTCTTCTCCCTAGTTGTTGCCAACTGCTATTAATTCTTTTGATGTCTGCCTTCAGTTTCAGTCGCGATGTATTCTTATCTTTTTGCCTTCAGTATTTCAAGTTAAGGCTTTCTTTGTGCTGCAGTTCGATGATTTTCACAGTGTATGCCCTAGTCACCTCCGGCGTCTTTTTCTAATTTCCTCTTTAGGTGTTAGATAGTTCGTTCTGTTCCGTAGTAGTTTGTTGCTGTTGGTATCTGGCCAACGAATATGGAGTATCTTGGGTAGACAATTGTTTATAAATACCCGTACTATTTTCGTGATGGTTATGGTAGTTTTCCAAGTTTCAGCTCCAAACAGTAGGAGTTTTGACGTTTGTATTAAAAAATGTGATTTCGCTTTTGGCTTACAGTTGTTTTGAGTTCCAGATGTTCTTTAATTGTAGGAATGATACGTTATTCGTTTACAGAAGTCAAATTATCATCGGTTAATACTTAATTATCTGAATCTTGAAGCCGTTGATGCTGATAAGTTTCAGTTTTAATGAGTGCAAGTTTGTCTATTTAGTAAGTTCTGAATTGTAAGAAAATGTCTTCTGAGATTTCTATTGGTAGCCAATATCATTTATTATAGAATGAGACTAAAAATTGAAGATCGAATTAACCATAAGATTATCAGAGAATTTCTTGAAGTATAACATTTAGATCAATAAGAAATATATCGACAAAGGTTCAGTCTTTCAACACTTTAGGGAAGATGTCATTCAATCACAAAATCAAAGGTCAACCGAAGAAGACAATCAACATAAAGGCAAGAACAAATCAATGCAACATAAACCTACGATGATAACAAATTACAAACAAGATCAGAATGAAGTTGTAAAATAAAATGAATTCACTTCTATATGAAATACTGGTTAATGATGTGGTTCAGAAGGACAGTGTAAGTTCTTTAACAAAATTATCCAGCTCAGAGAAAACAACACAAGGATACTTAGATATTTAGTAAAAACAGTCCCTAATAACAACTGAGACAGATATACGTGTTATTATAAGTTAATAACAGGAAATATATACATATATAAAAGGCAAATTCAATTTAGATTCAAATAGGATATTCAAGATGAATTATGATGAAAAGTCGAGAGTGGTGAAATTTAAATATATCTCCAATGAAACAGTTGTCACCAATGCCTTAGAATGATTGTAGCACTAAATAGCAACTAAACTGAATTCCAAATTGGAATATCGGACACCTGGTTAGTGGTCATAGTAACTAGAGTTCATAGAGAGAGAGGGAGAGATGATGGTCCTGATTTCCATTTCTAAATGGGTTGTGCCTATTCTACCTGCTTTTTATTAATACCTTAGATGATATCAATTTGTGACAAATACTACCTACAAATGAAATTGTCCTTAAATAGTAACAATGAAATGTAAAAAAAAACAACAAAAACAAAAGAGAAAATACCTTAATGTTAAAAACTTACCTGTTGTTGATAATACACCAGCTCTGGCTGCAGTTTTATATAATGGTGCAATATAATCATTTGAATCTGGTATATAATCCATTTCTGGTTTCATATGTATTATTGGCATAATAGATAACATTTCACCTAATATAGAATCAGTTATTTGCATTGTTTTATCATCCCATCTTAAACAAAACAATAAAAGAAAATAAACTAAGAATTTATATCAGATGGGTTTTGTGGATATTATAGTAATTTCAATGGTTAAGATTATGAGTCAGTTGAAGCTAGGCCACCATGGAAAACCTAGAAGTACTGGACGGCCGTTTCATCTCACTTAGTATGGGAATCCTCAGCAGTGCGCATCCTGGGTTCGAATCTCGCAGGGGGCAAGGTCGTGGATGCGCACTGCTGAGGAGTCCCTCAATGGGACGAAACGGCCGTCCAGTGCTTTCAGGTTTTCCATGGTGCTTCAACTGACTCATGATCTTAACCATTGAAATTAAGAATTTATAGTTGAATAAATATTTAAGAAAAGTTATTTCAAGAATATAAAAAAAGGATATGTAATAGAGCAGATGTTGTATTTTCTAATCTGGATGATACTCACAACATTGATATCATCAATAGAAGGACAAATTTTAATAAAAAGAAAAGGAAATGAGATATCTTTGAATGTGTCTACATAAACATCACTTTGCTGTTAAATGTTACAGTCAGTCAGTCAGTCAGTCAGTCAGTCAGTCAGTCAGTCAGTCAGTCAGTCAGTCAGTCAGTCAGTCAGTCAGTCAGTCAGTCAGTCAGTCAGTCAGTCAGTCAGTCAGTCAGTCAGTCAGTCAGTCAGTCAGTCAGTCAGTCAGTCAGTCAGTCAGTCAGTCAGTCAGTCAGTCAGTCAGTCAGTCAGTCGGTCGGTCAGTTTGTCAGCAACGACGTAAAACTTCGTACGCACGTACATCAGTTCGCGTTGCCATACCATATTAGTACAGAGATATAGTTGTCCATTCAAATCCCGTAGTGGTAAAGGTAGTAAAAGTATAAGCAGTAATCGGAAACATTAGAGTTTGGAGATGTTATTCAAGGAGTATAGTCCAGTGAAATGAAATTGGGAAGAGAAAAATAAAGAATTTGAGAGAACACTAAAAGTGGATGCACATGCGCTATTGCAAACGATTTTTAGCCATGTCATTCAAGGTCTCTAACCATCAGTTGCCATCGTCTCGCGGATCCCAACTAGGTAGTCTACACCTACCAACATAACTCAGTCCACTTATCAGTAACGTAATGGATTTGTTCCATGTTTTGGTCTGGCCACCCCTAGCTTTCTTCCAACCTACTCCTATACCACTGAACATCGCACGTCGAGGCAGACGGTTGTTGGGCATACGTAACACGTGTCCCAGCCATCTCAACTGATGAAGTTTCATCACTTCATTAATTGATTTGCCATCCTTACCTAGTACCCGTTTCCTGACAACTGCATTACTTACTCGATAGTCCCAGGATATACGAGTAATATTTCGAAGACACCTTTGATCAAATACTAGTAACCTACAAATATTCTCTACTCTTACCGGCCATGTTTCACTGCCATAAAGTAAGACGGAACGAACTGCTGCGCAGTAAACCCGTCCTTTGGTTGACTGGGGGATATCTCGCCTATTCCGTACATGATGCAAGTTGGCAAAAGCTAGTCGAGCCTTCTGTATCCGTGCTGAGATTTCGTCACACACCAGACCACAAGGACTAATAAGACTACCTAGATAAGTGAAGCTGTTGACGCGCCCAACTACTTCATTCCCTGTCATTAGTTCGTATGTCAATGCAACCCAATCCTGAAGCAACAATTTGCATTTCGAGGGGGAGAATCGCATTCCGAACATGCTTGTATTGTTGTTACAAGATAAACCTGATTATATCATAACATATTCTTTTTGTTCATTTTAGTGCTGTTTTTTCTTATTTCTGTCAGATTGTCGTGTCTATAAAATTAAAAAACTTAAAAGTAGGGTAAATTTGACTTGACTTGTATTTTTAAAATGTTCTAAATTACCATCGAATAGCTGTTCATTGTTTTGTAACTGTCAATGTCTCTCCCTAATTAAATTATTGCCTTCAGTTGGGATCATAAATAGATCAATATAAGACAACCATTGAAAACCTGGAAGTATTGGAAGTCTGTTTCATTCTAATATGGAACTCTTCAGCAGCGCGCATCCGTGATTTTGCACACGGGATCGTTTGTTCAGATTAAGATTGTTTTTAGAGGTAGGTTTATGAATTTTAACACATAGCTAAGTTGACTACAAGTTTGGGTTGATTGTTATTTTGAAAGTTTAGCATATATCATTTGTATTAACCTTTTGATGATAGATTATTTCCTCTTAATTACAGTAATACGTTTATTTGATGAGGTTGTGAATCTTCATCGTCTGAGATGGTTGGGCCACGTGTTACGTATACCTGAACACCGTATTACCACGACGTGCAATGCTGACCGGTGTTCGGGATGGTTAGAAGAAAGTTAGGGGAGGCCAAACCAAAACGTGGCATCAGTGTTTGAAGTCACTAACTTCTTGTCTGAGCCATGTTGGTAGATGCAGACTACTTGTTTGGAGTCCACGTGACTATCGTAACCAATTGTTGGAGACTCTTGGCTTAGAATCGATCGATCACAATGGTGTCGGTGTATACACTCTTTGCCTTCTCTTAAACTAAGAGATTAAAATCGTTTCATATCTTTCTTTCTACGAACTAATTCTTTCTTCCTGTACGATATCCTTAAACACAATCTTTCTTTTATATATTACCACCTCTGAATTAACTACTTTTATGAATCCGGTGTCCATCTTGTTGTGTTAATGAGGTATGGCAACTTGGACCGATGCATATATGTGCCTGATCCTACGTTGTAGCTGACTGACTGACTGACTGAAGACGTTTAGATGGCTATCGTTTTGTATTATCAAAATGGACGTTGATCTAGTGATCATTTAGTGAATTGCAACTAATTGGATATCATTAGACAAATCCATGATATCAATCTACTGTGGATAACTAAGCGAAAGTCAATACTAACATGGATACTAAAAAACAACATAATTAAATCAAGGCTAATGATTAAGGCTAGTAAAATAATCAATTAGGCTAGATATCTCTGACGATTTTATCACACATTCCATTTTCACATATGCCAAAGTCAACTTTTGTCTTTTGTATTAAATGAGATTATTCTTTCATATTAATATTCATAGTTTATCCAACAATTAAGAAGAAATCATCAGAAGGATGAATGATGGCTAGCAGTGGGATCCAGGACGCGCATCCCATCTTACTTGGGATTTGTAAGCTGGATGTATCTGCATTGCAGAGTTGATGTCCATTCCGGGACTCAAACCAAGTACCGTTCGCTTTAAACGCTATCATGTTATCCATTCAGCTATTGAGTTTTGATAGCCACATACTTGTGCAACGGGGTGAAGTTTAAATTCATTTTATGATGTTTTTATCTTCCACCTGATTTTAAGGACTGCGATTGATCAGTATCTTATTGGTATATGTATATCCTGTGTGTATTGCCTCGATGGCGAGACTCTCATTTATGGACGAGCCAATCAGAAGCGTTTGAGAGATTTCAAAGTCACGGCGCCAACTTCAGTACTTATTGCTAACGTACGATCGGGTCATAGAGAATTTTGTACAAATAACAAATAAAGCGGCGAGACTATAATTTGTGGACGAATCAATCAGGTATAAGATAATAGATCTCGGATTTTAACGCGAAAGCCTTTCATCCATTTGGCTAAATAAATTTCTAGCATTATAGTTGATGTCAGTTCGTGATGAAAACCCTATATATACTTCCTGACTAAGGCAAATTATGACAATTATTGTGAACTGGATAATAAAACACCCGAAACACTGGCTGCAGACAGGTGCTACAATATATACGGATGATTGGAGAGCGTACAAACTCCTACATAGGCTTGGTTATGTGCATCGTGTCATTATCTACAAGTAGCATTTTGTGGACTCAACAACCGGAGTGCACATAAACAATATTGAAGCTATATGGTGGAGGCTGAAAGAGTATTTGCGACCTTATCATGGCTCCAGAGGCCAACTATTCTGTAGCCGTATGGATGATTTCCTCTACTGCATGCATTACGATTTAAGGACCTCTGAACCTCTTTCTAACCTTGACAGGGTTTTGAACCACTTATAAGAAGTGTATCCACTTTATTTCCTTGGTTTTGTATAACATATTTGTACTGTGTACTGACTGTTCGCTGATTGGCTAAGATTTCTCAAGTTCACTTAAGATTCATTCAAAGATCATTCATAAACTATAGTCTCACCTCCTCGATATTGCCTTAAGTCACAAACATTATAAGCAAAGACCTGATCAATTCTAGTCTTAAATGTCACTAGTAGGAAGATCTAAACAGTTAAAAAAAATCATATTCAATATTTACCTGAAACCATCCATAAATAATCCATGCACAAGTACACCATCTTTTGGTTTATCTATCATTTTATCAACTTCTAATATTTCACCTAAACGAAGTTTTGATATAGCTATAGAAATTTCTTCTTGATTACGATAATATGGTAAAACATTGAAATGAAATGTTAAATGATCAATTGGATAGTTGTATTTTCGTGCATAATTTTGTAAAATTCCAGTTAGAAAACCTAGAATAAATGAAAATGAAATAATAAGTATGTTACATTTGATATTTATTCCTCAGCAGTGTATATCTACGACCCCGCCTTGAGAGATTCGAACACAGGACCCATCAGTCTCACGCACGAATGCTTAACCTCTAGACCACTGAGCCAGCCGGTATCCAATAGTGTTAATGTCTAACTTCAACCAATCCATGAAGTTGAGCCACCGTACACCATTATCTTCAGTGAGCTGATATCTCACAACAGACCTGATTGAACTCCACTGTTCACGGCTTCTCACTAGAACCACAGGAAATATCTCTTGAAGTCAGTCACTATAGTGAGCATATGTTGATTAATATCAGAGGGAGTTTTTGTGGTTATTATAGTAATTTTAATCGTTGAAATCATGAGTAGTGGATGCACATTGATGAGGAGTCCTACTATAGAACGAAATGGCCATCCAGTGCTCATGATCTAAACTATTAAAAAGATATATGTTTGTGAACTGGACTTCAAATTATAGCCAAATTTTATAGGAGTAGATATATACTACTTTGGTCGATTTAAACAAAGTTGATGGATTGAACTTTTAATTTGTGAATTAATGATAACAAATATTGCTGGAATGAAATTTTACATTTACTAATATCATCATAGTGTCAGTTCAAATATGAATCGATTAAAATAAACTCAAGAAGTTATAAAAAAATGTTATGGTGTATGCTACTGATGTCGACATATATAAGTAGTATGTGTCATCCATTAATCATAAGTGAAATACCTAGAGGGAGAAGGTTAAGAAGATCTAAAAGAAGAGAACGAGAACAGAGATTGATTGGTGTAGAGACGAAGGATCAAACAAGTCTGAGACAATTAAGGGGTATTTCACAGTGGTACTAAACCATAGGAATATTGAAAAATTAGTCTGAACAATAAAAGCAAAACACTTGGTAGGATCAGTCAGTTGAAGCTAGACCATTATGGAAAACCTGGAAGCACTGGACAGTCGTTTCATTTCACTTAGTATGGGACTTCTCAGCAGTGTGCATCCACTGATAGGTCCTGTATTGGAATCTCGCGAGGCGGGATTATTGATGCGTACTGCCGAGGAGTTCAACACTAGGACGAAACGACCGTCCAGTGCTTTCAGGTTTTCTATGATGGTCTAGCTTCAACTGATTGATGATCTTAACCATTGAAATATACTCGAGATGGTGGAGAAGATTACTGATACACTTTTTGTTGGTTTTAGATGTTATCAACAATCTATCGAGATAATGATGAAAGTTCTTAAATCATCATTGTGTTGTGAAATTATTGAATCAAGAAACTATAGTAAAACTAATTCATTTAACAGAACATTAAAGAGATTATTAATCAATATGGGAAAAAGGCTTGTAATGAATTCTATGTATTTCTATTAACTGCTTAAAGTTTCAAACTGTTATTTATAATGTAAATTATAATTTAACATCCATTAAGGTATCAATCCGAATTCACTTAAAGAGATTTCATTCTATAAACTCTTCCCCCCCCAAAATGTATCTTTTTCTCACCTATTAGCTTATGCAAATACTCAATGTTACTTTGTGGAACAGCTCCAACGATGATAAATTGTAAAGTAAAATGAGTGAAATCTTGTATATGTCTACTGAATAATAAATGCATTAAGAGACACTAATTGTAAATGTTTATTTCGCTCATGATTTCCATTTTCAGTAATTATTCTGTTGTATTCAATATTGAGGTTGTAATTTAAAGGTACATTTCATATCAACACTATCAAGATATTGTAGTTAGTTGCTATGTTTGTAGTGATCACCAGTTCAACATATTTACAAACGGAACGAAGACTTTGTGATACAATGATCAAATAAATTAACTATTCCGGTACATTCCACCCCCACTAAATACAGAGAGAAGTCCAGGTTCAGAAGAGGAAAAGTGTATTCCACAAGCAGCCAGAAGCACAAATCAAGGTTCTGGGTTTGAATCTCGGGAGCGGGATCGTGGATGCTCACTTCTGAGGAGTCTCATACTAGGACGAGACGGCCATCCAGTACTTTCAGATTTTCTATGGTGGTTTAGTTTTAAGTGACTCATAAATTCAACTATTAAATTACTAAAATCTCCATAAAACTCTCTTCTGATAATAAGCACTTTCATATGATGGATATTGATGGGTTCGCCCTACTATCTAGTACACTGTCAAAGTGCCTTTTCAAATGTTGAGAATTTGGACAGATTAATCCTATATGAAATACTATTTATGAGTTATATATTTGTCGCTTTTATTGTCAATTCTATCATACATCATTTCAGCAAGTCCTTTTTTTCACATGGCATTCAAACAAAACGAGATTGTTGAAGTGGATTAATATTATGCCAGTGATTGTTAAGGTTATAAACCAGCTTACAACTGAATAGGAAATTAGCAAAACACGATGAAACTGGATAGGACATAAATTACGGAAATCATCAAACTGCATCACGAGAAAAGAGCTAAGTTGAAATCCTGAAGGGAAGCAGAAAAGAGGAAATCCAAAGAACACATTACGTCGGGAAATAGAAGCAGATATGAAAAGGATGAATAATAGCTGGAAAGGATTACCTAGGACAGGGTTGGATGGAAAGTGCTGATGAGCGGCCTACGCTCCTCCACATGGGTTAACAGGCGTAAGTAAGTAAGATTGCTGAGGTTATATTGAATTGCCTATAATATGGTAAATTTCGGCAGTCGGTTCTGACTAATCAACCCAATATTCAGTCAAAATATTCACAATATGTAACGACAATTTCATAGATTTTAAAAGTGATCAATTTAAGTTTCCATAGGGATTACTAGCATAAGAAATGAAGAAATCAATCAAATGAAAAGCTAAAGATAAGGACAAGAGTAAATAACTGCAATATGGATGATGATAGAAATAATTAAACATGGAACTGATAGTCTTGAGATTAGATTAAAATGCAAAATTGAAATGAAGCCAAAAAATATTGATCATATTTACGCAGTTATAAAAGATTTCAAGTCACATTACATAGAATCAACAAATATTGACTACAAGTAATCATATGAACCCTGAATTGGGGAGTTTAACCTCTTGACTATAACAGTTTGAGCTAGATTTTTAAGACAAAAGATTGAAACATAAATTCACGGAAGTGTTTTTGAATAATTGCACTAACCTAACATTTCTGATCAATATAAACCAATTTAGCACGCATTTTTATGATCCATATATATCAGAAGGAGTTTTTTGGAGATTGTGGTGATTTCAATAGTTGAGATCATGAGTCAATTGAAGTTAGACCTGAAAGCACTGGACAGCTGTTCTTCCTATTGTGGGACTCCTTAGCAATGCACATCCACGACCCCGCCTCGTGGAACTCGAACCCAGGACCCATCATTCTCGCGCGCGGATGCTTAACGTCTAGACCACTGAGCCAGCCGGTATCCAATAGCGCTAATGTCTAACTTCAACTAATCCACAAAATTGAGCGACACATCTATCATTGTCTTCAGTGAGTTGCTATCTCACAAATGACCCAGGTTTTCACATAGTGGTCAAGCTTCAATTGACTCATGATCTCAACGATTGAAATCCATATGTATATATATATATATATATATATATATATATATATATATATATATATATATTCTATATTTTAGTTTCACACATACACACACGCACATACAACTACAACTTCACTGGAAAAACAAAAAAAATGTATTTACCTTGAGGAAAAAAGAATCCAGATATCCAAAATGAAAGAGGTTTTCCTCTAATCATCCATGTGTTAATAAAATCACAACGTAGTACTAAATCTTTTATCCAACTACCTAATGGTTTTAAACTTGGATATGATTTAGATGACCAAATTTCTGGTACAGAATTTTGTAAAAATGCCGTGTATACACCTTCCAAATCTTCTGACATAACAATAAAACCTTTAATTGCTTTTTGAAGTTGTTTCAAAGAATTCTAAAGAATAAAAAAAACTACTATCAGTATAGGATTGTGGAGATTGGTGAGTTTAGATTAACATTATGAATCGGTCAATGTTGGATTACAATTGAAAACTTAGAAGCATTGAACAGTCTTCTCATTTTAATATGGAACTCCTCAGCAGTGCGAATCCACGATACCTCATGCGGGGCTCGGATCAAGCACTTTTAATCTTTCAGGTTTTCAATGGTAATCTAACATTGATCCATTCATGATATTAATCTACAATAAAAAATTATTATCAATGAATGAAATGTGAAACAATGGCCACAACTATATTTATAGATCGGAACAGAATAGTACCTAGCTAATAGTCAACGACTTGGTAACTAAGTACGCCATCATGTACTCAGAATTTGAGCCATACTTTATATGTTTGTGTGTTCATGTGCCACTGTTCACATAGAACTAGTTGGAGTGAATTTTGAACAATGTAGATCATTAGTTGAAAGTTGAATGTTTTAACTGTAATACTTTTATTGTAATTTATCTAGTTCCATAATGATATTTCTGTTGGATTAAACATATCTTGTTGATTTGATTAGTTGATTTTTATGATTTGTTGTTTTAAAATGAACTTTTAATGTGGAGGTAATGACAGTTGAGATCATGAAACTGGTCAATTCAATTTTATATAAATATATCCTCTTCGTCGCAAAGCTTTAATGTATGAAGGAAATATTAGTTTAACAAGTTCATCCTTAATTGATGAACAGAATATGTCATAAATGAACTATCTGTCAGTTATTCAAAGTTACTTATATTATAAGAAAGCTAAGGAAGTAAGTACAATGTAACACAATATATTACAAGAAAGCTTCATTAATTGAATTAAAGTCACAATATATAGTCAAATTTGTAACTTCAGACTGTATTGTCAGCTCTAAGCAAAGATGAATAGTGGCTAGCAGTGGAATCCAGGGTGCGTGTTTCGTCCTATTTGGGACTCGTCAGCCTGGATGTATCTGCACCTTAGAGTTGATGTTTACTCTGGCACTCCAGCCCAGTACCGTTCGCTTCAAACGCCATCATGTTATCCACTTAGCTACTTAGCCTTGATACCCACTTGCTTGTGCAATGGCGTGAAGTTATATTCACTTGGTGTTGTTTACTTGTATCTTCCCATTGTTATTCAGGACTGCAATTGATCAGTCTCTTGTTGGCATATGTGCATCATGTGTGGACTGCCTCGATATTGCACGAAGTCACAAGCTTTATAAGTAAAAATGGATAATAGCTAGCAATGAAATCCAGGATACATGTCTCATCTTATTTGGGACTGGTCAGCTGGATGTACCTGTATCTCAGAGTTGGTATCCACTCGTGGAGGATCTCGAACCCAATACCGTTCGCTCCAAACTTCGTCGCATTATCCGCTTAGCTATGAGTCCTAAAGCATTTGAAGCGAACGGTATTGGGTTCGAGTCCCAGAGTGAACATCAACTCTGAGATGCAGGTACATCTGGCTGACGAGTCCTAACTTGAACGAAACGGGCGTCCTGGATTTCACTGCTAGACACTATCCATCTTTGCTTATCACATCAATTATAATTATTCAATTTATATATATATATATATATATGTATATACGTACCTTGATAATTTTTAATAATTTATTAAATCGATCAATTTCTTGAGTAAGTACAGTAGTCAATGAATCTATCCGACCTTTACTATCCGTATCAAATAAGTCTGGACGTGCATCTTCAATATTAATTTTTTCTGGTAATTTTTTCAATATTGAATCAGCTTGTTCATAAACCATATCATCATTTGTTTTCCCTGTACTCATTGTATTTGTACGTGGTTGAACATTAAGAATAACAGATAATAGATTATTTGTTTCTTGAAGCTTTTATTTATAATTTATTGAAAATAGAAAACAAAAAAAGCAACAGAATTATAAACTATAATGTTAATATGATAATTGTTTATGTTGACAATGTAGAGTGAACATTGACTCAGTCAGTCAGCTACGACGTAGCATCAGGCACATATATGCAGTGGTCCAAGTTGCCACACCTCATTAGCACAACAAGATGAACATCAAATTCATAAAAGCAGTTACTTCAATGGTAGGAATATATAAAAGAAAGATCGTGTATCAAGCTACTGACACGAAAGTCCTACTCACTGACTTCTCGTGACATTACTGTTGTTTACGAAATTGAGAGAACGAAAAGCGAATGTCCGACGCTTTAACCGGGTTGCTGGACACAGAGAGTCCACCTAGGGGAGTTGGAAAACCATGATTCCAAACCAATGGTGTACATGGGCTCCATCATCTTGATGGAACAAATAGCGTATGAACCTATTGTTGGTCACCGACTACCATAAGACTGCACCTCCTTACATTGCTCCACTGCCTTGTTGATCAGACCTTTAGGTTGGAGGCCCCCTAAGAAAATCAACTGTTTCGGTTTGAGCAACCGGAAAGTATCACAGCCTTCACACAAATCGAATGATTTGTGTGGCTCATATCTATTCGGTGCCATCTTGTACCAATGTTTATGTTTTTAATTAATTAAATATAGCACAGGAAGAAGGAATTAGTTGGTAGAAACAAAGATATAATGCAATTTCATAGTTTAAAAGAAGACAAAGAGTGTATACACCGACGTCATTGTGATAGATTCTGAGCCATATCACCCACAGTCTCCAACCATTGTTTACGATAGTCACGCGGACTCCAACCAAGTAGTCTCCATCTACCAACATGGCTCAGACTAGAAGTTATTGACTTCAAGAAATAATGTACAATCACTGCAGAACATGTTTAAGGTCTCTAATCCGAAACCCGAGTTATGTATGAAGTTCACTACTGAATGACGAGATTTATCTGAAAATGTGTTATGAATATGAAACATAACGTAAATACTGATAATTTGCAAGCCTCAAATCATGAGATATTAAGGTAACCATTAGACTGTCATAGGGTTAGTCAAAATGAAAGTGGATTATTAAAATGGGAAAAAATATAGATAAATTCACGAAATTGACTACAAATTAGAAGACAGTACATTATTGTGTCAAGCATGAAATGTAACGAATATCAAAATAGATCAGAACATCTCTGGAAATTCAGTTGTTAAATGAAAATAATATCAAGGGGTGTCACACATAACATCAATGAAATAACCTAAAAGGGGGGAATAAATGCTATTACATATAATAAAACAAACTGAAACATTGAAATAAAAGTACAAATGGTTAGCATTTTATAACCGTTCATAATACTGAATAATAATATTAGTGGAATAAACATAACTACTGAATATTATTAAGTAGTATGGTGTAACATGACCCGTAAAGAAAAGTTATCGACAAGGTTGACTCATGCATTAATATGTATGAGTTTCATTTTCGATAATTCACATTACTACAACATGAGACGAACTTGATAAGATGAGAAATAGACGAGAGAAATGATTAGAAACAGTATCAGAATCTGAAAATGGGAAATTTGATTCAAAGAAAGGTTGAAAAATAAAAAAAGGTAGTAGTAATACTTAACTCATGATTCAAGGAAAGATTTAAGAATGGTTACAAGTTCATGATCACCAATACTGTGATGTAGAAGTCATTCATCATGTAAGAAATGATAGTATGTATATGCGTAACTATAGAACAGTGAGAAAATTATGTCTCTGGCTACGATCAAATACAAATTAGTCATTCATCCAATAGTAGCATAGATTAGTTAATGTATATTTAGAATCAAATCATTGACATAATTAATTATGATATTTATTTGTTAATTAACACCTTTGGATGATGGCTCTATGATCTAGAGGATAAGAGTTTTTTCGAGAGATCGAAAGTCCTGAGTTCGAATTCTGAGAGCGGAGTCGTGAATGCGCACTGCTGAGAAGTCCTATACTGGAGCAAAGCGACCATCCACTGTTTTCAGGTTTTCCACGGTGCTCTAACTTTAATCGACTCATGAATTCAATTATTAAATTAATCAACAGTTGTCATAGAGTAGCTTTTAGTGTTCTAGTTTGTTTATTAATGTACAAGCCTTCATCTGTTATTTATTCTTCATAAATGTCAAAACCTTTCTGAAGTATTTTCAACTAAATAAAGTCATAATTCGAAATCCTCTTTAGTAATAACAAAGTTCAAATGATGAAATTGCAGTTTAACATTTCGTTTATTAGTTCGAGGGTAAAGTAGATTCACAGTAAATCCTACTTGATCTAAGATTCATGCGGACTCATAATCATTAATAAATCATACGTCTGTAATTCTGATCGGAATTATGATTTGTATGAGATTTCAACATCTGTATCATACAGTATCATCGTCAGTAACCGCTTGTAGAACTGTAATATCACTACTTGTTAATCACTAGTGATTATTATAAAGCAATATATTAATATTAAACTACATGTATACTTTGTATGAGAACACTTATTACCTGATATACTAAATTAGCATTTTCATTCATACCAAATAATTCAGGTCCTGAACTAAATGGAAGATTAGATACATATTCCATATATTCTATTAAAGTTTCTTTAGTTGGTGGATAATAAATACCAGATGATGAATAAACATAATCTGATTTTAATGTAGATGGATGAAAGAAACGTTGAAGTATTGTACGTAAACATCTTTGATCCCAGAAATCAGTGACACGTCCACCATATGTAATCTAGAATAAGAAATTTAAAATAATATTTTTGTCAAAGATCTATTTCGGCGAGACTCTAATTTAGGGACGACCTTTGAACGAATCGTAAATGACCTTGACAACTACTAGCCAATCAGAAGACAGTATTAAGTGAAAATATATTATAAGAAAGTAACGAATTACAGTGGATATTCTTCGTTTACATGATTTAAAAACTTGTTAAGGTTGGTAAAGGTTCAGAGGTTCTGAATTAATAATGCAGGTTTTAATTATCCCTACGGCATTTTTTTAAAAAACCCCACCCTTTTTTAGAATTTTTTTCAACCCCAAAATTACAATATTTTTCATACCGTTTCGTCCAACGAAAAGGCTATTTTCATAATTCGTTTCAATTGGTTAGTCATGTCTTGTCAAATAGTTATAAAACATCAGAACTTGTAGACGAAGTACATTTTAATCATTATTATGGAGGACAGCAACGTTCCGAGTACAAGCGCTGTTGTTTCTAACGTAACGGAAATGGAGGAAGTCTTTTTGACTACATTGTTTCTCGTTGCGTTCCCATCGCTTGAAGCGTTGAAGTCCGCTATCACAAATTATGAAAGGTCGACTTACAGTCATTATATAGTTCGAGATTCGCATTTGAGCAGAGATGAAAACTCGTATATTAAGTTTGTACGCTGGAGACATGGTCGTATAACATCTATCGGTTCGTCACAGCGGATCAGATGAAGGAGGTAAATTGATTAATGTTATTAAACGTTTTGGTCATGAAGGGCTTCCATGAACACTCAATGTCCGGCCTTCATGTATTGTGAGATCATAGACGGGTACTGGACTGTTGTACGTGGGAATGTGCATCACAACCATAAGTGCAGTTCCCTGGGGCACCAAGGTCATTCATGGATGCGCAGGTTAACGGAAGAGGAGTTTGAAACTGTGAGACCGCTGCTGATTTCCGGTACCGCTGCATTCCACATAAAGAATTTTGCTTACCAATCTTATGCGAAACGTCTGACAAATCAAGATGTCTGTAATATGTGGTACAAAGTGTTCTCACACGCGAACCCTCCTGGTAAGCAATGTGCCAATTTATAATGTACAGCATAGGTGATTACGGAAAATTACAAGACGATGATAACTGTCTATCATATTTTTTCTTCATGACTGCTGAGCAAATGAATTTGACAGTTCGTTTCTGTGATGTTAACGACTTCAATTGAAGGTTAACATTAAATCACTTAATCGGAAATCAAAAATTTATCTCACTAAACACATTCACTAACAGTAGGATTGAACTTAAGTTGGTGTTTTTTTCTTAAAATGTCTAAATTCTTTAAACGACTAACATGACACAAAAAGAATTATTCATTATCATTTCAAATGTAAAAATGCAAATTCTGACATCCAATCACAACTCTAGATGCGATTTCGATTTCAACTAATCAGATTGCAAATATGAACAGTTTACGATCAATAACAAAATTATTAAAGATGACAAAATGTTTGTTCATTTTCACTTCACTACACACTTGTAAAACAAGTATATCAATCTGCGATCAATGAATTTTTTTTAACACCCTACAATTTCTACGAAAAGGGGAGTACAAAATCTTAATTGCCGTAGGCTTAATGTCAACCAATAATGTATACGGTATAGAAACTCGTCCTTAGGGTTAGGGTTAAATTAGGGTGGAGAGATTCTAATTTAGGGACGAGCCAATCAGAAGCGTTTGAGCAATTTCAAGTTCACGGAGCCAAGTTCAACACGTAATGCCAACATACGGTCGGTTTACAACGGATTTTAGAGGTGTTTATTGGGAGGCTACAACCCTAACCTAACCCTAAACTCTAACCCTATGGACAAGTTTCTATACCGTATGAATTATGAATTCAGAACCTCTGAACCTTTATCAAACCTTAACAAGTTTTTAAATCATGTAAAAGAAGATTATCCACTGTCATTCATTACTTTCTTATAATATATTTTTACTTTATACTAACTGTCTTCTGATTGGCTAATAATTGAAATTGCTCAAACGCTTCTGATTGGCTCGTCCCTAAATTAGAGTCTCGCCTCTATTTCTAGTAAGATTTCTATTGGTTTACACTTACTGGGTATGTTGTTGGGGTGATCCAGAAAATTACTTGCAAAAGACAAGCAACCATCAGGAATCACTAAGAAGCGTTTCGTCCAGTTAGTGTTCACTTGAAGTCTTGACCAAAAATATCAAGGGAGCGAAACGTCACATGTATAGGTTCTGATTGGCTGTTGCTACACTGTTACTATGTTTAGTAGCATTTCCAGAATCTTCTAGCAACCCAAGGACATTTAAAATATTATAAAAATCCTGTATTTTCTGTATTAAAATGAACTTCTCGCATAGTTTGAGTCTTCTCTCTCGTGTTCAAGTCTCTGTATAGTTCTAGCTTGGGGGTTACAGAATGGCTTAGGAGACGAATATAGCTTTCAATTCGAATGACTTATCAATGTTAATGTTTAAGTTACCTTAATATTTCAATGAATATCTCGTTAGTATTTAAAGAGAATAGTACTGTGTTCAAATCTTATTGTGAACAACAATATTCGGTTATAGGTATGTTCATTTGATAAGTTTCAAACAAGATGAAACGCCCATTTTTGAGTTACGGTGCTAGTCACAATTCAACTTAAAACTAAACTTAAACTAAACTAACTAATTCGATCAGAATGTACATATACCGAGAAAAAAAGATATTGATTGATTCCAATCCTGCATGGCAACAACCGGAAATTGAAAACACTTAGTAACAAAGATAAACTTATTATGTTATATCATTCTATGTCCTTTAGATAGGTATATGATATGTAAAAAGGTGTGTGTGTGGGGGAAGTGAAACAATAACTTTTACTAACTTCAGCTGTAATATACGTTAAAGCATCCCATGGTATATAAGATTCATGACAGAACATTTCTAAATTTAATAATGCACATTCACGATCCGAATCATTAAAATCATAATTAATATTCCATCCAAGTGGTCCAAATTTTTTTCTTTCCAATATAATTGAATGAAAGAAACAAATGCCAAATACTAATTTACGCCAATCATTTCTTAACACTGTATAAATAACGTTTAGAGTAGAAAACAAAAAGAAAACATGATAAGTAAGTAGGTTAGATCATTTAATTACTATCTAACATTTACTCATTGTCATATCTTGATAAGAATAATGAATGGTAATCTTTGGGATCCATTTATGGATCAATACTATATGTATATGTTTTATTGTATAATTATCAGTAGGGGTTTTGTGGAGATTTTAGAAATGTCACTGATTGAAATCATGAGTCAATGATAGCTAGACCGCCACGGGAAACCTGGAAGCACTGGATGGCCGTTTCATTCTAGTGTGGGACTCCTCAGCAGTGCGCGCCCACGATCTCGCACCCCACGAGATTCGAACCCAGAACCTATCAGTTTCGTGACAGGCGCTTAACCGACTAGACCACTAAGCCGGCATTCGGCAGTGTTAATGTCTAACTTCAACCAATCCATGAAGTTGCACCATCGTACACCACTGTCTTCAGTGAGTTGATTTCTCACAACAGATCTGGTTGAACTCCACTGGTAACGGCTTCTCACAAGAACTCCAGGAGTATCTCTTGAAGTCAATCACTAGTGAGCAGAAGATTCTTATCAGAAGGGGTTTTGTGAAGATTTCAGAAATTTCACTGATTGAAATATTGCATAATTGTTAAATAACTAAACTGTTTGTATTCATGTCCCTCTTATTATGAGCTTCAGTTTGACCTATGAACTGTTGTTATACGATTTGCCATTCTTGAATTATTCCCTGTCTATTAATCACTACCTCCCACATTCACAGCCACATTTGGCCAAATTTTGTACAAATTTTATTTGCTGACATTCAGTGGCAACACCATGTCAGTAGTGCAGAGATTCGGCATCGTGTGTTCGGGCACAGAGATGATAATTCAATTGGTGTCACCATCTTGAAACACCGACTTCGGTGGCTTGGACATGTTCTCCGAATGTCGTCCCAGAGAATTCCACATCGTGCATTATTTGCCGACTCTGGGACTGGTTGGAAGAAGCGGAGAGGTGGTCAGTGCATGACATGGTGTCGTGGTATGAAAGAAAGCTGCAAAGGACTGGCTTCTGTCGGTCCTTCACGACTCCCTGGTTGGGGTCCGAGAGATGGTGCTACACAGTGGCTAGAGACGTTATCAGATATGGCTCAGAATAGAAGCCAGTGGCGATCCTGCTGTAATCTTCTTTTACTTTCTTCATAAAAAGTGGTTGTCTTCCTTACCTGAAAGATTTCTTCCGATTGTACCTTTGCGTTCCCTCATTTCTACCACACTACCTTACACCAATCTCTTCGTTATTTTTCTCTTTCTTTTTGCGCTCCTTAGCTTTTTGTTTTTCTATTTCTCTTCGAATTCTCATTGTTTTGTGTGGCGCATATATATTGGCGCTCTCTTGTACCAATATTTATGTGTCCAAATAAATAAATAAATAATAAACAAATGTTATTTACTATTTTATGTTACGTTGTGGTCTGTTTGATTGGTATATAAACCCAGTATGTTTGAAATAAATGATTCATATCGCAGAAGCTGAGATTCGCGTTCTGGACTTAACAGGTAGGGCTAAGCAGGAAGCAGGACCAATCAGTAATCTAGGCTGCTCGTATGTGTTTTATATGTCATTCGTTCGGTCGATAATTCACTTTTCTCTAATTGGCAGTATCATTACGTTATATATTAATAGGACACAGGGCACAAGTTATAGCACTAATGTTAACAATCTATTCATTATTGTATAATATAGAATCAATAAATGACGTAACATTATATAAAACTTAAGTTGATTTTAGAAAGTGACTACTACTACTGCTGCTACTAATGTAGTGAACAAGAACTCCGGTGGAGAAAAGCAATTTATTATTTGATACACAATTACAGAGTTATAAGCAAAAATGGATAGTGGCTAGCATTGGAATTCAGTTTGATGCGCATTTCGTCCTATTTGGGACTCGTCAGGTGGATATACTTGCATCCAAATGGGCACTGAGTTCGAATCCCGGAGTAGACACCAACTCTGAGATGCAGGCACACCCAGCTGACGAATCCGAAATAGGACGAAACGCGCGTCAACTTGGATTCCACTGCTAACCATTATTCATTTTGGCCTATAATGCTTGTGAATTAAGGTAATGTCGAGGCAATCCATACAGTATGCACATATGCCGATAACAGACTGATCCATTGCAGTCCTAAACTTTAGTGGAAGATTCGGTTAAATAATACAAAGTGAGTTTACAATTATAGAGTGTTTTCATAAAGTATGAAAATCGTACACCAAAATACATGATTTGCACATCTTCAATCATTTGTCCTTTACGTATTTCATGATTCTTTCAAATATGTTGTTATTACAATAACTTTCTGTTTCCCTTTCTGTTCTGCTCAACTGAATCATTTCAATCTTCTAATGACATGCATTTCACTTTCGATTGGTGCTACCTACTACTTATATCCGTCAACATAAGTAGCATACACTATACTACGACTCCTAATTACTATTAATATTACTGTAATGAACGAGAACACGAATAGGGACAAGTAATGTATATTAAGACAAAACTACAGGTAAGATGTGAGAACCATGCACTGAATACTTCATCTGCAAGTTCTCATCAATTATCCTTCACATTGTCTATGATTCTTCTAGTTCACAATTTTTTTCTATTTTCCCTTCTGTTCTTTTCAACTTGATCTTCTTTCCTTCCTTCCTTCCTTCCTTCTTTCTTTCTTTATTTTAACACATAGATATTGGTACAAGGAGGCAACAAATATATGTGCACCACATAAGTCTCATTTGATATGCGTGAGGGCTGTGATACTTCCCGGGTGCCCAGACCAAAGCAGGTGGTTTTCTTAGGGGGCCACACTCCAAGCCTTCAATATAAAGGTCTGATCCACAAGGCAGTGAAGCAACGTAAGGAGATGCAGTCTCATGGAAGCTGGTGACCAACGATTGGTTCATACATCATTTGTTCCTTCAGGATCCTGGATCCCATGTACACCATTGGTTTGGAATGAGGGTTTTCCAACTCCCCTAGGTGGACTGTCCGTATTCACCAACTCGGTTAAAGTGCCGGACATTCTTTTTTTCCTCCTCTCAATTTCGTAAACAACACCTCGACGGTGAAAAAAAGGCAGTGAGTAGGACTTTCCTGGAAGAGGCTAAATATGCGTGGTCACGTGAGAGCATTTGGAGAGGGAGAGCGGACTCTCTCTACTCTCGGCCGTACCACGGCCCACTTCTGCCAGGTTTTCTAATTTCGATTGGTGTTGCATATTACCTACATCGACAGACATAGGTAGCATAAACTACACAACTATTAGTATTACTATCATTATTACTACTGATAATACAATCCTGTTTAATGGTTGAAGGTATTCCATCAATTCATAATCATATTTAGCTTATCAATCATAATAAAAATATAAAGGTGAAATATGGTCATCATCATCATCACCATCAATTACATACATTTGAATCATTTCTCAAAATATATACCTCGAGTTACACAGAAAATTATGTCATATGTAAATGGAACACACTCCCAACATTGTAAACATACCATGTGTATTAAATGATTCCATTGATATATCATTCAATGCTCGAATAAGATTTGCTTTTAATCCTTTTGGTGGTTCATTAGTTACTTTTACTGAATTTTGTAATACAGATATTGGAAATGATTTTGATGGCATTGAACTTAAATATAAACGAAAATCTGTATGTGTTGATTTAGGATTTTCAGCAAGTTGTTTCACTATTTCTTCTAATCGAATCATCCATGAAGCAGCTAAATGACAATTCTTTAAAATACAAAAAAAAACACAAAAAGCAACGTTAAATTGAAGATCGTTTTACTTTCGATGGAGTTTTACTCGCTAAGCTGACCAAACCATTCAGCTCAGAGAACAAAACTCCATCGAAATCATTCATCTGAGCTACAAATCTTCTCCATCATCTTATAGTTTTTACTAGTTTGTTTCTTAAGTACAATAGAAATAAGTAATTTATACTTAATTATTGGTGAATGATTGATAAAGATTCATTAACTGAAGTGATTTGGATCATGTGTCACATATACTTAACTACCATCTACATCAACAAGCAACATTCACTGGTATGAGAATAGGTTCGAGAGAAAAAAGACAATTAGTTCCTGTTAAACAACGATATGACATAAGTCCATGCAATAATGATTGCTTGTTGATATGAGTCGTATTGATAGGCGTAAACTGCTTGGATAAGTTTCACCTGATACTTCTAAACAATGATCATTAGTTCTTTCCGTTTGGTTCGACGGACATTTACGTTGAATAATTAATCTGCATACAATTAAATAGCTGACTGAACCAAAAGATTAAATTACTGTGTAATTTAGGTATTTCATTGATTAGTTCCTTTATTACGAACTCTTTTATTCTTGAATGTCCAGATAATTTAAGTATCTTTCTTAAGACAATGTACCGTGTTAGTGACATCTTTCGTAATAGCTTCATGAACTGGAATTCTAAATGAAGAACATGTAGTTCATTTTTGTAACTTACCATTTCACCTTAGAATGAGTTATCATTTTGTGAGTTTACTATCATATATATTTATATATGAATACTGTGAATTAACTAAAGGAACTAGGTATGATCGGCTGAATAATTCTAGGCATACTACATGCAGTACAAAAAACCAAACAGCTCGTATGTCATTTCAAGGTTGAACAGTCGATGAGGAATCATAAATTAGGTGAGTAGTTAGGGGAAATCAGCTATAAACTTGAAAAAAGTTGATGATCTATATATAAAAAAGGGGGTTGGGTTGCCGAGGTTTTAGTAATTTAATAGTTGAATTCATGAGCCGATTAAAGCTAGACCATCATGGAAAAGCTGGAAGCACTAAATGGTGTATGGATATATCGTTATTTAATTCACATCGGACAAATATATAATTACTCTTGATTTGTTTATATCATCAAATGATTTTCCAAGTTGAAGCCTTCCAATCATCTCTCAATCTTTTCACTCTTATCACTGATCGGGAAAATTGCATACAATGTAGTTGAATCAAAAGTTCCAGGTCGTGACATGGTAGGGTTGAGTTCAAACGAAAATATTTATTCTTCTATAAATGATTTCATTATTAACATCTGATGGAAATAAAACTGCTTCATTAATGAACCAGAAACATTAATTTTTATATGATACGTAAGAAATATTGGTTAACAGTTTCTATGTTTGAAGTGATTACAAGTTCACCTAATTTGAGAACGGAACAAAAACTCGGTGACTAAAGACCAATAAGCCAGCTATTCTGATGTGTCCCATCCACACTAACTAGAGAGAGAAGTCCATGTTCGAAACGGGGAAATATATTCCGCAAGTATCCAGAATCACAAGCAAATAACAATAGGTACAAATCATACGTATATATAAAGCATAAAATTGTCCTTGGCAAGTTTTACAAAATAGCATACTAAAAGATACAACGGACCAATGGCGCTTAAGATTCTCCCAAGTGGGAAATACGACATGAAGGTCAAAATGAGCTCTTTTGGCGTGAAAACAAGAAATTCAAATTTTTAATATAGAATTACAAAAAATAAGATATTTACCAGGTGAGTTTTGAAGATCTAACATCTCCAACAACAATGAAGAAATTTTATTACTTCACGAGATAATGGAAAACATTTATAGATTAGATGAATATTTTCAGTGTTATTGAATGTTCCAAATTAAACGGCTAAGTTATCAAGCTGCCTTTGTTATCCCAGACAGGATAATCAGTGAGAGTCAGACTCCATTCACCTTAAACATTCATTTATTTTAGATTATCCTACGTATTGTTCCCAAAAAACCTTTTTACAGCTTTATAATATCAGAGTTTTCAGTAATGTTACGTCTCATTACCTGGATGATTTAACTATGCTTACCTACAAGAAACTGTTGAGATCCTTACAGTTTACTAAGTTTGTGATTAATGCTCACCAAAGAAGGTAGTTTGAAAAAAAGTGTATTTATAACAGTGTAGATAATGCTTGTATTCAAACCTATCCGATGGATGATATGAGAACCAAAGAGAATCTGACATAGTCTCACATCATGAAACTGAAGTCAGTCAGTGATCATGGGTTCTGTTGGAGGTCTGAGGGTGGTTATCACTCCCCGGTTGCCCACACTGTGAAAGGGTTCCTCTGGAGGTACCTGAGAAGAAAATTGGACTAGAAGTGGCCTTAGTCACCTGAGAGCGTGACCGCAGTGCCAAAGAGATAACTGCTTGAGGTCAGCCACAAACGACCTTTCTGTGAGTAATTTTCGTGTTAGCTCCATACTTGTTGAGACCTTACCGCCGGAGACGGATATCCATGGGATAAGGTGAGGTGTGCATTTTTAGAGTCGACCTTTTCTAACCCCACCCCTCCTTGTGGGAAGGTATAATCGCTGTTATGCTGGTTGTCTGAAGGAAACACCTTACTGCTGTCACACCTTTGTACAGTCAGTAATACGACTTCATTTTCAGACTTTAGTTTTGGTGCTTTTAGTGTTAACGCTCTTTAATCGATCTGTCTTGCATGGTAGGACCTTGCGGAACGATTATTGTAGCCAGTATAGCTCTTTTGGTTCATCATGATGGGCAAGCTTGACCACCACATCAAGGTAGCAACAACGGTCGGGTATGAAACCGAAATTCAAGAATCCCTGAATAACGGAGTGGACAATATCACAAAAGTTTAATACGTCCTTTCTTCGGCATACTGACAGACTCAATCATTTCAAGATAGTCCTCAAAAAATCAGTCAGTTAGGTAGTCAGTAAGCTACAACGTAGGATTAGGCATATATATACATCGGTTCAAGTTACCATACCTCATAAGCACAACAAGATGAACATCAGATTTATAGAAGTGGTTAATCCAGTGGTGGTAATATATAAAGAAAGATTGCATATAAGGACATAGCACAGGAAGAAAGAATTAGTTCGTATGAAGCGATTTTAATCTCATTGTTTAAAAGAAGACAGAGAGTGTATACACCTACACCACTGTAATCGATTGTGAGCTATGTCACCCACAGTTTCCAATCATTGGTTACGATAGTCATCGATGGACCCTAACCAAATAATCTATATCTACCAATATGGCTCAGACTATAAGGTTTATTTTTATTTATTTATTTTAACACATAGATATTGGTACAAGGAGGCACCAAATATATATGCACCACACAAATCTCATTTGATATGTGTGAGGGCTGTGATACTGCCCGAGTTTCCAAACCGAAACAGGTGGTTTGCTTAGGAGGCCACACCCGGAGACTTCGGCCTGAAGGTCTGATCCACAAGGCAGTACAGCAACGTAAGGAGATGCAGTCCCATGGTAGTCAGTAACCAACGATTGGTTCATACGCCATTCATTCCTTCAGGATACTGGAGCCCATGTGCATCATTGGTTTGGAATGAGGGTTTTCCAACTCCCCTATGTGGACTTTCCGTGTCCACCGATCCGATTAAAGCGCCGGACATTCGCTTTTCTCCTTCTCATTTTCGTAAACAATACCCCCGCCACGAGAAGTCAGTAAGTAGGACTTCCCTGTTAGAGGCTATATACACGTGGCCATGTGAGAGCAATTGGAGAGGGAGTGCGGACTCTCTCCACTCTCGGCCGTACCAGGGGCATATGAGGGTCAAACTAGAAGGTTAGTGACTAATGTCATGTATTCATTTAGTCACCCCTTCTATTCAAACAATATCATTCTAATCAAATCATTTAAATCATTTCTTTTTTGAATAAAATTTTCAATCATTACCTGTAAAAATACCCAATCACCTAATTTACATGCTTCATGAATTAATTTCTCTGCTTTCGGACCTTGTCCTTGTCCTAATGATACAATATGTACACGTTCTATATAATTAAATTCTTTAATAAATTTTTGAAATTGATTCATTGGATCTGAACCATTTGATAATATAAATATTAATGGTGTCATTGAATCCATTTCTTTATATAATATTGATAAATGACATGATGGGGTTTCAATAAATTCTTTACCAAGATTATAATATATAAAATCTCTTATTACTTTAATGGTTTGATCTTCATAGAATGTTGAAATCAGTAATAATTTTTGAAATGATGTTAATTTTTCATTATAGTTACTAAGTGGTAATGTATTTTTATAATCTTTAGGAGTTAATCTATAAATACCTAATTCTTCTTCTTTGTTTTCTTCTTGTTCCCTTGGTAACTGTTTCATTATTGGATTAAAATCAATAATAATTGAATAATTACAAATATCATTAGGTAATGTATGAAATTGTTCAGGAAAATATTGTGATAAATCAATAATACGTTTCCATTGTTTTATATTTAACCAATTTTTTGTATGAATTGGTTGTTCTAATTGTTGTTTAGTATTAATTATGATATTATTATTAGGTATACCTAATAAAAAATACAACCATTCATTCATTGTAATTTGATTCATTTGTTTTAATATTTCAATACATAACATAAATGAAAGATTAATTTATCACGTTCAAATAAACCACGTGAAATATTATTATATGTTGCTATAGTAATAGAATCTATTAAAATTTGTATACGTTCATCTAATGTAGTGACATTTGGACAATTTTGTATCGTTGTATTGAATAACTGAAAAACAAAACAAAAAAAAAGAGTTCTGTTATGATTTTATGTCCGGCTTGTTGTCACATGATTTATCCACCAATCAACATACGACTTATACAATGTTAGCACTATGCCAAACCGATGACATCCGAGCGGTATGAGCGGCCTAGCGTCCTTATTAGTCCTATGTCCGCCTAGCCCGTCCACTTGAGTCCAGAAACACAATACCAGATTCTGAAATATGAATCAAAAACAAAAATAAACGAAAAAACATTTATAAATAAAGTATTTCGTATTTATACCTGTTTATGGAGCATTGGTTACTGATCAGTATTCTCTAGACCAGTCAGTCCTGAACCTTTCTTTCTAGTTCTATCCAATTGTTGTTCCTTCTACTCATATCTATCTCTGTTTCTCGTTGTAATGTGTTCTTTCATCTTCCTCTCCTTCTTTGCCTTTGAGGATTTTAGGTGAGAGCTTGACTTGTGATACAGTTGGGTGCCTTCTTCAATGTGTATCTTATCCACTTACAGAGATTCTTCTTGATTTCTTCCTCTGCTGGATTTTGATTCGTTCTCTCACACAGTGAGTTGTTGTTGATAGTATCTGGACAACGGATATGAAGTATTTTGTGTAGACAATTGTTAATAAACACTTGTATCTTCTGGATGATGGTTTTCGTAGTTGTCCAAGTTTCCACCCCATACAATAGAACTATGTTGACATTTGTAATGAAAATGCTGATTTTGGTGTTGGTTGAGAGACAGTTGTTTTGAGTTGCAGATGTTCTTCAATTGTAGATATGCTGTTCTTGCTTTGCCTATCCGTGCCTTCACATCTGCATCAGATCCACCATGTTCATCATTGATGCTGACCAGATATGTAAAGGACTCTACATCTTCCAAGGATTCTCCGTCACTTGTGATTCCATCGGTGCATGCTGTGTTGTATCGAAGAATCTTGCATTTCCACTATGACCCATGCTCTCCCCCGATGTCGACGTCTTTATAATTCAGTCAATCACCAGGAGAAAGAGGAAGGGTAAGAGTAAGCAACCTTGTCTGACACCGACCTTTACTTCGAACGAGTGTGTGAGCTGTCCTCCATGAACGGATTTGCAGTTTAACTCATCCTAAGAATTCCGTGTGATCTTGACCATGTTCTCGGTTACGTCGTAGTGTCGAAGTAGCCTCCATAGTGTTGTCTTGTTAAAACTATCAAAAGCTTTCTCGTAGTCAATGAAATTGATGTAGAGTGATGAATTCCATTCAATTGATTGTTCCACACTGATCTGTAGTGTTGCGATTTGGTCGGTACATGATCGATCCTTACAGAATCCAGGCTGTTGGTCATAAAGTAGATTATGAATTTTCCTCCTTCGTTCAGTGTTAACGTTGAATATGATAGTTTAGGTTAGAATCTCACATTTTGCTATAAGGTATAAAATCGCCATCTGTCAAGTTTATTATTTAAAATCTCATTAAGAATACTTTTTCTTTCTAATTAGTTATATTTAAAAAGTTTTCGAGTTTATTGATTCAAAATGAATGTCAGAAACGATTTCATTTAATAAATTCATTACTACAATGAGGATTTATGGAGATTGTAGTAATTTTAATAGTTGAATTCATGAGTGGATCTAATTTAGATCATCATTGAAAACCTGGAAGACTGAAAGTTCTAGGTCCAAGTCTCACTTGCTGGATCGTGGATGTAGAACGCTGTAGGATGCAACGGCTTTATACTGCTTTCAGGTTTTCAATGGTGATCTAGCTTAGATCGATTTATGAATTCAACTATTACCATTCATTACATTCTCTATTGTTTTTCGAGTTTAGAGACCTAAGTAAAACAGCTTCATTGTGTATGACATTGTTTACTAACTAATTAACAGTAATAATAATGATTTTGCATTAGAATACAATATCAGATGTATCCGCTTTTATTACGACTAAAAACGAAGCATGTTTTCCTATCATATTTCTCAAAGACAAAGACGTTCTTGTTACTCTATGACAGATTCGATTGCATCATGAGATTTATTATTCCAGTGCACTTCGTTCCATCAGTGTAAGATGGTTGTATACAGCTGACAGAAAATTCTTCTTGATTTCACTTTCATACACTTCAATACTCATTGTCAAAGTATATCCATAATCTTAAAAGAACTGATAATCCCTGCAAAGTTTGAATCTATATCGCTACTCAATGTTTACAATCTCATATTACTGATAAGTAATACCTAGATAAGATGGTGGTTGAAGGTAATCAACAGGAAACTTTGGACCCGAACTTCGTGCTATTTGGTACATCTTGTTGATGAGTGCTATTTTAATTTGCATGATAGGATTATTTATAGTAATATTATTTTTTATTAAGAATTCCTTTTGAACCCTGTTCAGACGTACTTCTTGAAACGATTTTAAAAGAATCGTTTGAGTACATTGAGAACTTTCACTTCACAATTGATTAATCACTGAGTGGTGATCAATGTCCTGTGTGTCAATTCCTTCTTAGTGCAGATCGAATGCTATCGACCATGTTGCAATGTAGCCACTAGTCTAGGTGACTCGACACTGCGGGCACTAGTCGACAGGAAACCCTGGACCCGGGTTTCGTGCTATTTGGCACTCTTCGGCAAGATGTACCTGTAATCTTGAGGGAACTGGTGCTCTCCGACGGATTCGACCCTTTGTCACCATCTTACCTCAACATAGTTCATTCAATGTTGAGTCACCTAGACTAGTGACCACATTACAACTTGGTCGATAGCATTTGATCTGCACTTAGAAGGACTTGACACACATGACATTGATCATCACTCAGTGACCAATCAATCGTGAATACATCTCAGTCCTACAAAAGGTCAGTCACGAGGAGCACCAGTTCCCTCAAGAATACAAGTACACCTTACTGACGAGTGCCAAGTAACACGAAACCTATGTCCAGGGTTTCCTATTGGCTACCTCCAACCATCATCTTGTCTCAACATAGTTCACTAAATGTTGAGTCACCTAGACTAGGGACCACATTACAACTTGGTCGATAGCATTCGATCTGCACTAAGAAGGACTTGACACACATGACATTGATCACCACCCAATGATCAATCAATTGTGCTAAACAATATCATTATAAATCACGCAAAGTAATTAATTACATAACAATTCACTTACATTTTTGAAATATTTCAATGAAAATTGATACATTGAATCAATTTCAGCCATAGATGTTATTACAAAATACATAACAGAACCACGTGTAGCAATTGGTAAATATTTTGAACGTGCTATTGTAATTTTTTGTTCTGTTAATGTTGCTTCAGTTAAACGTTTTGTGATTTCACTTGATTTTATTTTAGATTCATTTAATGTATTAATTAAATCTTCATTATCTAATATATTACCTTCAGATTCAAATAATAATTTCAATATTCTATTTCTGTTTCCTAAAATATATTGATATAAGTGGAAACATTGAATGTTAGTCAAAGGATGATTGATATTTTAAACAAAACCGAGATAATTTGAAACTATTATTATTAATTTAACACATAGATATTGGTACAAGGAGGCACCAAATACATATGTACCACACAAATCTCATTCGATATGTGTTAGGGCTGTGATACTGCCCGGGGCCACACCCGGAGTCTTCGACCTAAAGGTCTGATCCACAAGACAGTGGATCATCGTAAGGAGATGTAGTTCCATGGTAGCCGGTGACCAACGATTGGTTCATACTCTATTTGTTCCGTCAGGATACTGGATCCCATGTGCATCATTGGTTTGGAATCCGGTTGGAGCGCTGGACATTCGCTTTTCGTCTTCTCATTTTCGTAAACAACAGTAATGCCACGAGGAGTCAGTGAGTAGGACTTCCCTGGTAGAGGCTATATACTCGTGGTCATGTGAAAGCATTTGGAGAGGATGGCGGACTCTTTCCACTCTCGGTCGTACCAGGGCATTTGGGGGCCGATTGATCAACTTTAGATATCCCAGTACGATCCCAATACTGTCCCTCAATTTCCAATATATCAGAACATGAACCGTAGGTGAAAATTGTTTATGAGGTCAGAAGAATGAGAATAAGAATAAGAATAATACTTTACAGACAAATGCATATTTATACAATTAGGACTACCGTGAATATTGATCAATAGGAAAATGACACCATTTCACGTTTAAGGATAGCATTAGACTTAACAAGATAATTTTTGGGATATTTTTCTGAATATCCCAACAGCTATCTTTGATCAACACCATGTGGAACCCCTCTGGGACCACTGCCGGTCCCAGGAGGAAGGTTGGACATAAGGTTAGCGACCCAATCCCATAGAAAACTAACTCGCTAAAAAAAAACGCTAACCAGCTTTGACCAATATTCTTCGTTGAGGATATCTATCTGTCTGTCTGCTTATTGAAATCTGAAAATGGATTTCTGGATTTAATGAACTGACGATCATTGAAATTCAAAGAATAGTGGATGTCTTTTTTCAAATTAGTATGACATTTCATAGTAGCATTTCATTCGAATCGAATTCTGAATATTGATATCCTACTATCTAATCACTGGATCTGAATTCAATAATTTACAATTTTAAAGTTCATGTTTAAGTAATATAAAATGGAAATCATCTCAATGCATCAATCAATAACAGTTTTACTCTTGATTTAACTAGACAACAATAATAGTTTATTGCAGACTAATTCAACTGACGAATATCCAATTGATAGGAAACATTCATCTTTGGTTTTATTGCTAATTCTTACAGTCGAACTGGTAGAACACAGGTAAAAAGGAAACATCTGTAAAACAATAAAAAACTGATAGGATTTAGTCTTGATTACCAAAATATGGGTAAATACAAACCTCATTACAAACAATAAACCGTCTACAAAACTTGAAGCGATAAATGATATGAATGGTCTGCTTAGTCTTTTTCTGAAAAAATTCGCATTTTATCTTAAAAAAGAATTTATATCAACAAATTACATCTGAAGTAAGTAAGTACTGGACTAAATATAAGTAATAATTTCTTTTGGTGGACACGGAGGGTCCACTTAGGGGAGTTGGAAAATTCTCATTCCAAACCATTGGTCAATATGGGCTCCAGGATTTTAAGGAAACAAATGACGTATGAACCAATTATTGGTCACCGGCTAATATGAGATAGCATCTCCTGATGTTGTTCCACTGCCTTGTGGATTAGACCTTTAGGTCAAAGGCTCAGGGTGTAGCCCCCTAGGAAAACCACCCGCTTCGGTTTGGGCACTTGGACAGTATTCCAACCTTCACATAAATCATTAGATTTATGTGATGCATGTCTATTTGGGCCTCCTTGTACCAATGTTTATGTGTTTAAATAAACGAATAAAAGTAATGTAAGCAAACGAATAACGTAAAGTTTCGAATTCTAATAACAACTAATACCTATTGAACAAGATGTATAATATTGTAATTAACAATCCTTTGAAGTTTAATGAGATGCATACATGGATTGAATGGTTGTATTAAATTAAAGTAAAATCAAAACCAGATGGCGATAGGGAGTGTATACACCTAGGCCATTGTGATCGATTCTGAGCCATGTCATCTAGAGTCTCCAACCATTGGTTACGATAGTCATGGCGGACCCCAACCAAGTAGTCTGCATCTATTAACATGGCTACGACTAGAAGTTAGTGACTTCAAGTACTGATGCCACGTTTTGGTTTGGCCGCCCCTAACTTTCTTCCAGCTGTCTCCAACACTAGTCAACATTGAGTGTTGTGGTAAACGGTGTTCAGGCATATGTAACAAGTGGCCCAACCATCTCAGTCAATGAAGATTCACAACCTCATCAACTGATTTACCATCATTCCCTAATACCCTGATGTCTAACCTCACTATTACTTACCCGGTGATCCCAGCAGATGTGAGCAATATTTCTAAGGCGTACAATTGATCGTTTTTTCTCGAAATTACTCAAAATCAACAAAATAGTTTTATTGATAATCACATTGATAAATATTGATTATTGGAAATTATTAAATCCATATATATTGATTTTATTTAGTTTCACTTTAATTAAGTTAATAAACTCTTGAATAGTCCCATAATATACTTATTTGAATCATAGTGTGATCGATAAACGAACTCACCAATGACAAAGTGAAACACCAACCACCACATTAACTTTCTTTGACCTTGTACGACTGTATCTCTTTATTAACCAATCACAGTTTGATGTTCATTGTAAAACAATATTTGCTTTGTTGACTCATTTTTCCTATTCTCTGGCTACTGTTCAGTATGTTATTTGTCTCCGTTTTTCCCTGTGTTCATAACCTATACTGTTTATTTTGTACACTAACGATGTTCATTTATGTTTTAGTAACAGATAAAGTAGTTTTATCAAGCCAAATAGCTTACTTGTTCTGACTTTGACTAAACCAAGACTCTGTGCTTGACAGTCTAGAGAATAGCTTAGAGTTACACCTGTAGGAAATTACTTCCTGCAAGTGTAAACAATCAAACAAAACTTACTGATGGGTTTTATATTTATTTATTTATTTAAACACATAAAGATTGGTACAAGAAAGCACCAAATAGATATGTACCGCATAAATCATTCAATTTATGTGACGGCTAGGTTACTGTCCGGGTACCTAAACTAAAGCAGGTGACTTTTTCAGGGGGCTACACCCTGAGCCGCATAGCAGTGGGACAACGTTAGGAGATGCAGTCTTATGGTAACCAGTGACCAATAATTGGTTCATACTCCATTTGTTTCCTTAGGATCCTGGAGCACATAGACACCAATGGTTTGTAATGAGGGTTTTCCAACTCCCCTAGGTGAATCCTCCGTACCCACCAACCGGGTTAAATCGCCGGATATTCACTTTTTATTCTTTCAACTTCTTAAACAACAGTAATGACACGAGAATTCAGTGAGTAGGATGCATGTGGTCATGTGATAGCATTAGGAGTGTGTTGTGAACAGGGAAACAAGAAGCCCTGACAAACTACGAAAGCTATTTCTTGGGACGTTATTTCATTTTACTCAAACCTTGTAAAATACTGACATTTATTTTTGTCCCTATTTTATTCTACAGAACATGAGCTTTCGTTCGATGTATCATTGATTGTCATACCCCTTTTCTGTTCCGAAACTATTGTAATTTAAACATAATATTTTGCACCTTATTTTCTACCCTAATTTCCAGTTTTGGACATAATTATATTTTCCCAAATTATTGTACGTTGTGGTCAGGATATTCACTTATTTATTCATGTACGTTTTTGCACTAATCCGAATTCACAATTCAGAGTGTTCCAACTGTCTTGTCTTCTCTTATTTGCGTGCTTACCAGCCAATCAGATTCTAGAATAGTTCTCTCTCTGTACCCCATCTCGAACTCACGCGTACTAGACTCAAAGTTAAACCGCTCAGCCTATTGCGCCAAGGTCATACTCTCGACTAGACAGATCAAGGTCAAGTCATAACAAAGTATCGACGGGGTAAAAGCTATCCAAGGTTATAACAGAGAGCGAGAGAGAAAGAACTGACTTTCCCCACTCGTAGCCATATCAAGTCATTTGGGGGCCACTGATAGGTATCATACATATATATATACGTTAAACATTCCACTTACTTTTAATTGATTTCTATCTGTATTAATTTTAACAATTAATTGATTACGTTGTTCTTCTAATTCTGGTCTTTCAATACTAGTAACATCATTTAATAATTGATCTTCTAAACCATTTAATGTAACAGTAAAATTAATAATTGTTACTTTAATTGATATATCAGGTAAATAATGTGGATTAGATAATTTAGTTGTTATATATAAACGAAAATTTTGATTATATTCTATATCATTATCACTAAGTCGTATTAATAAACGACCACCAGACATAAAAGTTTGTTTTAATAAAATAGATTCTAATGAAGGATCTAATGTTTCAGCAATATCTTCAATTAATAATGGTAAACCAAATTGAATACAATTTTCTAAAATTCTTAATAAATTTGAATCGGTTAATTTAATAATTTTTAATTGATTTTGTAATTCCATTATACGTATCCAACGATTAGCTTGTTCTTGTGGATCAATAAATAATGGCCAACGTCTTGAATGTTTAACTAAAATAGCATTATCTATACTAAATGAATCTTTTGGTAAACCTTTTATTGTCCATTGTCTTATTTCATATAAATTACCAAGAATATGAAATAAAGTCAATTGTTCACTAACAGATATATTTAATTCATGACAACGATGAATCCATTGTTGCATTAAATCATAACGATAATTCATTGTAAATGCACCATAATATGCAATACAAGCGGATGCTATAAATACATCACCTATAATATGATTTAATTGTATATTATATTGTTCTATAGATAATTTCCAACGTTCTTGTTCATCCATTAAACCAGTGGTTAATTTATTAGCACGTTTTAATCTAGTTGATATTAATGTTAAATATTGTTCTAGTTTCTTTTTTTCATTTATAGATTGATGATATTCTTGTTGTAATAATGTAATTTTTTGTTCTACATTGAATAATTCTAATTGTTTTGTTGAAGTTTACGCATGACAATATCTAAATCTGCATTCGCTTCTTCTAAACTAAAATATAGAAAGAAATAAAAGAGAATTGTAAATATGAACGACAAACTATCATTGTTCTTATTAGTTTAGATAGGGTGTGTAGATTGCTAAGTTTTTGATTGAGATCATCAACCGATTGATGTTAGACCACCATTGAAAACCTGGAAGCACTGAACAGCCATTTCGTTCTATTGTGGAACTCCTCAGCAGTGTGCACCCACGATCCCGCTGGCGGGATTCGAACCCAGGGACTTTAATCTCGCGTGAGAATGCTTAACCTACTGGATGGAGGGTGTGAATGTCTAACGTTAACCAATCCATGAAGTTGCGCGACCATCTTCCATTGTACTGAGGTAGACACCTGTTTCTACCCGACATGGATACGCACTGCTGAAGAGTCCCACAATACGACGAAACGGCCGTCCAGTGTTTCCAGGTTTTCAATGGTGGTCTAACATCAATCGGTTGATGATCTTAATTTAAAAAAAACTTAACAATCTCCACACTCCATCTAAACTGATAATTACCATGTGCTCACTAGTGACTAGCTTCGTCAGAAAATTCTCGGAGTTCTGGTGAGAAGCCGTGACCAGTGGAGCTAATCCGTGTCGGGTAAAAACAGGTGTCTACTTCAGTACAATGGAAGATGGTAGCGCAAGTTCGTGGATTGCTTGAGGTTAGACATTAGTGTCCTTGTTTTTGTTTTACTGTAGTTTGTTTTTTCCAAAAAAACAAATACAAACAATCAGTCAATTATAGACTAGATAGTATTGTGGTGTGTGCTAACTAGAGTCGATAAATATAAGTAGTATGTAACACCACTTATAAGTGGAATATATGGTAACAGAAGGTTGAGACAATCAAGGAAAATTGAATGGGAAAAGAGTAATTGGTATGATGTACGCTACTTATGCAAAAATAAGTAGTATAAAATGTTAGTGAGAAATAGAATGCCTGGTAGGAGATGGTTGAGATAAAATAAAAGAATTAACTCAAGGTTTGATTTTACCACTTCCAGTTCATATCTTATTGTTATAGCGGTTGGTTTTCCACGTTTATACGTATGGGACGTTAATTTACTTTAAACGAATATCTACACAAGATTCCCTCTCGGTGTCTATTCTACAGGACTTCAACACGTCTCAGATCAAGAACACGTGATTAGCTTGACCACAACGTAAATATATTTCCACACTAAAACCCGACACAATCCAACATCAATGAACAATCACTAATGAGTCAGTAATAATAATAAAGATAGGGAAAATATAACTCATCTGACACCGGTTCGACTATCTACATGTCTGACGAAGCGAACACCCAATCATTACTGTTCTCGCACACACATCACTTATCTAATGCTATTCCAAGAAGAATAGCAAGATAGTTGGTATTAAAGTGTAATATTTAACTTTTGGAAATATTTCAAAGAAGGAAAAAGAAAGTAACCTAATACAACAAAATCAATGATTTATTCAATCAATCAACCAACCAATCACTCAACCAGTCAGTCGATCAACCAACCAACCAAGCAATCAATCAGTCAACCAATCAGTAAATCAACTAATCAATCAATCAACCAATTTACCAATCAATCACCCGATCAGTCAATCGATCAACCAACAAAACAGTCTAAAGATATATATATATATATTAAAACAAAATAATCTAAGAATATTTTCATACCGTTTCCTTTTTGGTTCCACAGTACGAAATATATGCGCGTATAAATTCAATGCTCTAACCCACATACACATTGATTTACAAGCTTTACTTGTTTTTTCAACAATTTCTGGTATAAATTCAGGATTATCAATAAATTTTTTTAATTTTTTCAATTGTCCATCAGTTATATCATCTTTTGGATATTCAACTAATTTTCTTAAAAAATTTGAATCATTTAATACAATTTTAGCTGTTGCCCAATCACCTCTAAATGAAAATAATAATAATAATAATAATAATAATAATAATAATAATAATGGTAAATGATTAGGTGAAATATAACAAATTATTTGGTTAGATGAGTGTATACTGTTGAGGAGTTTCACACTAGGACGAAACGGTTGTCCAGTGCCTCAAAGTTTTTCAAGGGGGTATAGCTTCAATTGACTCATGAGCTCAACTATCAAATTACTACTATTTAATTACTTAATTACACCTGCTACTCCCAATGAAGCATAGGCTGCCGACTAGCATTTTGCAACAAACTCTGTTTTGGACCTTCCTTTGTAGTTCTATCCAATTGTTATTCATTTTTCTCATATCTGTCTACATGTCTCAGTGTAATATGTTCTTTCGTCTTCCTCTTCCCCTTTGGCCTTGAGGATTCTATGTGAGGTCTGGTTTTTTCTCTCCCACAATAGGTTGTTACTGATAGTGTCTGGCCGACAGATCTGAAGTATTTTACGTAGACAACTAATAATAAACACTTGTGTGTTCTGGATGATGGCTTTTGTAGTTGTACAAGTTTCCACCCCATACAGTAGAACGGTGTTGACATTTGTATTGAAAATGCTGATTTTGATGTTGGTTAACAGACAGTTGTTTTGAGTTGCAGATGTTCTTCAATTGTAGATATGCTGTTCTTGCTTTGCCGATCGGTGCATTGACATCTGCATCAGATCCACCATGTTCATCATTGATGCTGCCCGGATCTGTAAAAATCTTTAGATCCTCCAAATCTCTGTCAAGTGTGATGCGTCTCGAGCCCTTCTGGGGTTGCTGCCAGTCGCAAACCCGGATAATTTCTGGTCACTTAGATCAGTGGCTGAATGACAAATCAAAATTCAACTGTTCAAGTGGGAGAAATAAATACCGTGCTACTTATTGACTGTTGCTTTCCAAGTAAAACCGACAAAGTGCATTGATATGGTGAAGATAGATCTAATAGATTACAGTGTCAACGACATATAAAGTTGTTTTCCAATCGTTATTAACATGTAATCAAATCTTAAGAAGGGGTGATTGTATAACCTGGTCATTTAGTTGCATCTTTTGGTTTTGTATGTTTAATTGTATTATATTGTAAATCTATTAAGATGGAAAGCTATTAAATACTCGGAGTTAAATACTATTCAGTTTAGTATAAATAAATCTGACTGTATCAGTATAAAGGTTGTTGAGATTATCAAGTTTTTGATTGAGATCATCAATCGATTGATGCTAGACCACCACTGAAAACCTGGAAGCACTAGATGGGGGTTTAGTCTTATTGTGAGACTCTTCTGAAGTGTGCATCCACGATCCTGCTCATGGGATTCGGACCCGGGGCCTTCAGTCTCATGCGCGTATGCTTAACCTACTGAACCGCAGAGCCAGCATCAACATCATTGGATGCTTCTAGGTTTTCAATGGTGGTCTAATTTCAATCCGTTCATGATCTCAATCAAAAATCTGACTGTTAACAAATTATGTATAAATAGTGGTATATTCATGTATCATTTTGATTTATCTTAGAAGTCAGTTGAATCCTTATTTATTATCTTCAGTTATCTATTACTTCAGTTATCCAATTCATGGTTCCAGTAGCAAGTATAATGTCAGTTAAGTATGCAGCGGTTCCTATATATAGATATATATTCTTACTTTTGTCCAAGCATAATACAAACAGCTTCCATAACAGTTTGTACTAATTGTGGTGGTTTAGTGAATACACGAATTTCAGATATATCATTTTTATCTAATGAATCAAGTGCTTTATTAGCTGCTTCCAATGCTGGTATTGCTTCATCTAAATCACGTTGTGCATCATCAGCTATAATTTGATTTTCAGCTGCTTTTTGTTTAGCCAACATTTCATCTTCTTTAACTCGACTACGAACAATATCAGCCTGATAATGAAGAATTGAAGAAAAATAAAACAACACAAAATAACTAGATGATTTTATGAATATTCGTAAGGTATACTTCATTAAAAACTAATATTATGTGCCAAACAATGAAAATTTAATGGAAACTGGATGATTGTTTCATCCTAATCAGAGCGTCCATGGACTAGAATATCCATGATCATACATGGAATAGACAACTACGAGTAGAGAAACCAGTGGCTATGGTTACGTAACAGGTAATTAAGTCATATTTTTTAGAGGTACATATACAATGATATGTTTATACTTAATTAATAATTTTACTGGTTGAAATCATGAGTCAATTGAAGCTAGACCACCATGGTAAGCCTGGAGGCACTTGACGGCCGTTTCGTCCCAGTATGGGACTCCTCAGCAGTGCGCAATCATGACCCCGCCCCCGCAAGATTCGAACTCAGGCTCTATCAGTCTCGCGACAGTCGCTTAACCAACTAGAGCACTGAGCCGGCCGGCATCCAACGGTGTTAATGTTTAACTTCAACAACACTTAATTGATAAGTTTCAAGTTTTAAAATGAAGTACGAGTTATTGTTGTATATCCTTATCTATTTAATATTGAATATAATAAATTACCTGTTCTTGATCTTCACTTAATTTTATCATCAATTTTTCTGTATCACGTTGTTTTGCTTCAAGTGTTGGACGTAATGCTGTTAGTTCCGTTTCCATTTTAGCAATTAAATCATTAGTTTCTAATATTTTATTTAAACCATTACGAAATTTATCACGTCCATCAGTTAATTCTCTAGACAAAAAAAGCGAAAGAAAATGCATTAGGGAGTGAGAAAAACACCGAATCACCCGATTGCACAAGCTAATAGCCATTATGACTAAATAGCTAAGTGGAGATAAATGATAGTATTTGAAGTGGACGATACTGGTTTCAAGTCTTGTAGTGAACATCAATTCTGCAATACAGATACATTCAGCTGATAAGTTCAAAATAGGTTAGAACGCATGTCCTGGATCTCATTGTTAGCCATCATCCATCTTTTCTTAGAAATAAACAATCGTTTGATAATAATCACAATTATAACTGTATGAACCAAGTTATAGCTTGGTAGATAGGATTCGATCTACACTAAGAAGAACTTGACATACATGAAATGGATTACTAACCCAGTGATCAATCAATTGTAAATTTTAATAATCTTTGACTTATTAATTAAAATGAACTAACTCACTTTGTTTTTTTATTCAACATTGTCATATATAATCCAAGCAATTCTAAATAACTTGTCGGTGTAGTATAATAATGACGTTTTAATTCATTATAAAAACGTACAGCTGCTTCTGAAACACTTAAATGAATATCGGTAGATAATTTTGATATAGATTCCTGTTAAGAATAGAAATAAATAAAATATCTATTAGCTTTACAGACTTATGACTATTGTAAAAGTTTGTAGTTTACATCATAGACTGATATTATGACAGAAACACGAGATATATCCTGGAGTTCTGGTGAGAAGTAGTGACCAGTGGAGTTCAACCAGGTTGTTGTGAGATAGCAACTCACTGAAGACAATAGTGAATATATTGCTCAATTTCGTGGATTAGTTGAAGTTAGACATTAACATCGTTGGATGCCGGCACAGTGGTCTAGTGGTTAAGTGCTTGCGCGCGAAACCAGTAACCATAACTAACTTGAATTAATATATTCATAATAATAATAATAATAATAATAATCCATAACTTACTTTAAGTTCATTTGAACCAAAATCCTCTTGTGAAAATGTATACATAGCAACATTATATAATGCTTCTTTAGGCCATTCAATAAACCAATCAATAATACAACAATTAATTAATGATGGAAACATTCTACATCTTATACGAAAATTAATACCAATTGGTGACATACATAATACAATATGTAAATTATTTTTAATACGATTAATAAAAAATTCATAAATTCCATTACGATTTCCTTCAATGATACCATATTCTTTAGCTGCTATACGACAATCATTAATAATATGTTCATATTCATCATTATCAAATAGATTTGTTATTTCACCAGAATTTAATATATTATTAATATCTTCAAGGAATTCTTCTATAATAATTTGATTATCTGTTATTAAGAATACAGTTGGTTTATTATCTATACCAGCTATATGATAAAGTTTTTTTAGATCTTCATGAAAGGATACATAATCATAACCACGACATAATTCAATTTGATAACATTGATAATCATTGATATGTGCTGCTAATCTAAAGTATTTTAAAAGAAAGAATAAGGACATTCGTTGAATGATTAAAATAGACAATTAATGTAGATGATTACATTTGATCATTATCATGTCGGGTGGAGACATCTTTCTACCATAGTACAATGGAATATTTGTTTGCGCGATTTCGTGGATTAGTTTAAGTTAGATATTAACGTCATTGGATACCGACAGGCTAGCTCAGTGGTCTAATAGGTTAAGTATTTGCGCGCAAAACTAAAGGCTCTGAGTTTGAATTCCACGAGTGGGATTGTAGATGAACATTGCTAAGGAGTATAGTACAATAGAACGAAACGGCCGTTCAGTGCTTTCAAATTTTCAATGGTGCTCTAACATCAATTGGTTCATGATCTCAATCAATAAATTTGATAAATTAGATTATGAACAATATTATGAATGATAAGCAAAAATGGATAGTGATTAGAAGTGGAATTCAGTTTGATGCACGTTTCGTTCTATTTAGGACACATCAGCTGGATGTAACTACGTCTCAGAGTTGATATTTACTATGGGACTCGAACTCAATACTGTTCGCTTCAAATGTCATCGTGTTATCCACTTAGCTATTGAGTCCTGATAGCCACCTACTTGTGCAACGGGGTGAAGTTTAAATTTACATGATGTTGTTTTACTTGTACCTTTCCATTGTTATTGAAGATTGTAATTAATCAGTCTCACGTTGGCATATGTGCATCCTGTGCGGATTGTCTCGATACTAGCCTTACGTCACAAGCATTTTAAGAAAAGATAGATAGTGGCTAAAAGTGGAATCCAGGACGCGCGTTTCGTTTTATTTGGGACTAGTCAGCTGGGTGTACCTACATCTCAGAGTTGATGTTCACTCTGAGACTCGAACTCAGTGTCGTTCACTTCAAACGCCATCGCGTTATCCACTGTTAGCCATTATCGATTTTTGCTTATAATTCTTGCGAATTAAGGCTATATCGGGGCAATAAGCAAAGGATGCACATAGACCAATAAGAGAATGATCAATTACAGTCCCAAACATCAATGGGAAGATTCAAACAAACAATACCAAGTGAATTTATTATTGTGAATTGATTGAAGTTAAATGTGTAAATTATCGAATACTACTTCAGTAGTTCGAAGGTTAAGCGCTCAACACCAAACGTGAGGATCCTCAGTTTGATCTGAAGTAGGATTGTCGGTGAGACTATAATTTATGGACGACCTTTGAGAGATGCCAGACTGACCTTGAGAGCGTTTACTTAATAACCAGGATCGAATGAGGGTTATAAACTTGTGTGGGGAGTTAGAATTACGATTTACAGTTGATGATTAGATTCAAGGTTTTCATCACGAAATGACACCAGCTATAATGCCATGAATGTATTTAGCCAAATGGATGAGTGAATTTCGCGCCGAAATCAGAGACCTGTTAACTTATACCTGATTGGTTCGCCCATAAATTATAGCCTCTCCATTCATTTATTTAGAAATTTGAGCATAGCCGATAAGTTTCAACTATTGAGACTATAATTTTGAGACAACCTTTAATTGATGTTGAAGTAACCTTGGAAAAAATTCACTTAATTATTCAGATCAAAAGAGATTTATAGATTACTGTAAGAGATTACGATTAGAATTTAGAGTCGGAAGTTACATTTAGATTTAGGATTAAGGTAATTAACGTAAACTGACAACTTTATGAGTTGGGTCTTAGTAATGATGAGTCGAAATTCCATTCATATTACCATATCCTTAGTTCTTTTTCGACTGTTTAGAGAAGGAAATGTTTGTAAACGGATACCATACTACTCTTTATCAAAAGAAATGCAAAATATAGAGACTATTTTAATACTGTATGTTTTTTTTTAGACAAAATAATGCCTATGTGTTATGATATTGAAAACAGTATATTCCGTATTCAAGGGCTTGATAATAGATGATAAGATGTGGTGTATTACATAATACACTAGGTGTATTAGAACACTATACTAAATAAAACAATAGGTTAACAGACCATTAGATTAGGGTTTACGTGAAACACCGATACGCGATTCTGACTCACGACTGAGAACCAGATAATGAGTTAGAATGATCGTTTATTGAAATAAAGAGCAACCTGTTACATAATATTAAATCTAGAGTAAATTATATATATATATATATATATATATATATATTGTCCGGTTCATTGGTATGTTTGGATAGTGTAATTAACGGAAATGTTGGAATCATTGAAACTATCCAAGTATCTAAACCAAACCGAATGAGATGGCGAATAATAGCATTTTGAGAACTATGGGACATAATCATCAGTTTTAAATCATTTACTATAGTTGTGAACATTTAACTAAATCACTATGAGGTAAGAGTTTGAACTTCTGAATGGAAATGATTATCTACAAGTTAAGTAAATATAGAAGTCCACGAGACCCTTCCCTGTAGTCTATGAAAACTGTAATAGCTTCCTACTCAGAGAAGAATAAACTATCTCTACTAGAAAGATCCTAAACAGTATGTTTGATAATCATATCACAACTAAGTTTACTAATTCAATCTGATTTATATTACCATAAGGAAAAATGACCAAAATGTAATAAAATGTTAATAGTCATATTTATCAAGGTTTGGATAATTTTTTCTGGTTAGCGTTTTTTAGCGGGTTAGTTTTCTATGGGATGGGTCGTCAAGCCCATGCCCAACTCCCCTCCTTTATCCGGGCTTGGGACCGGCAATAGCCCCCGGAGGGACTCCAGGCGGAGTTCATATTTATCAAAACATTAAGAAAATGAAACGAAAATGGAATCTAGTTGAATCTAAGACCTTCTGACTCACTATTGACTAATTAACTGACCGATTAGAATAAAGTAGGACTTCTGAAATTAAACCGCCAGTTCTACTGTTATGCATGCTATCGTTTCCTTCCTTTCATCCTAATTATATTAATATCTCCTTTCACTGTGCTTATGTGAGCTATCGTAATTTGAACCCACATATTGTCTATAAATGGATAACTGACTAGTTCAAGTCATCATTCATCAAAACTACACTCGATTTGATATGTTTAACTTGACAGTGATTCAAGTTCACTACCTACTCTCACGATCATTCAAGTTCATGAAAAAGCTTCAGTATTCAGTTGGTCAATCAGTCATAATTAACTCTGAGCCTAGTACATACATGTATTGGTTCAAGTTGCCATTTTCCATGAACACGAGAAGATGATTTCGAAAAGAAAAATGACGAAGGAATCATAATATTGTAGCAGCAAACATATTGAAAAGGTTTGAACACTGACAATGTGGTTCTAAAATAAAAAACGAAAAAGGTACATTTGGAAGATTGCTGAACCTTAAGATCTTGAGGGAGAGAAGGAGCGAATGCATTTGAACTTCTGTAGTCTTTTCTGAACAATATCATTCACTACCCTCAAGCATTGATTTCAATTGACACGTAGAATTCATCAAATGAAAAGCAAATTAAATGAGTCATTCATGTAACTGGAAGTACCTATCATACAGATTAGTTTACATTACTATCATAATATACTACTGACTAACAGTTATCTATATTATTCACTACTAAAGAAAAAGACGTTTATTTTACCTAGTTAATGATTGTTTTCCAGTACCACCGACACCAACTAATAAAGCATTTCCTCTATCTTGTCTAATTATTCGAGCAATACGACAAACATGTTCAATAGCATCGACAAAGAAGACAAGTTTCACATCCTTTGACATTGTCATATTGTAATCATCCAAGTACTGTAAAGAAATGATGCATTTAAAATGAAATCTTTACAGAAGAGTTTTTATATGTTCATAGAGAAAAGATTAATAAATAATACAACAGAAAATCTATTCAATTAGAACACTATTAATTGTTTCATGTGTTATTGATGTTAAGAACTCCAATCCATTAAACTATATGGGATATATATTATCCTGAGTAGATTGATTCGATGAGTAAGACCAATGGCTATTCGGACCTAGAAGATTAATGGTTAATGTGTTGAGCGTTTGAAGTGAAAGACACTGGGTTCTCGAATCTCAGAGTGAATATCAACACAGATTAAACCACATTCATCTGACGAGTACGAGTAGAACTAGACTGTTAGCTAGTACCAAACTTTTCTTAATAGAGATCTTATTGGTTGTTTTATGATCTTTATCATTATTATTTAATAAGTTGTACCACAGTGACTGAATAATTCATTTATGAATAGCGGTATTAATTCCCTTCCATGTGTATATTCAGCCATTATTTAAGAGATTTCATTTATCCATTTCTTGTTTTATGATAATTATGATATGAATGCATCCAGATAGAAAATTCATTTTTAAGTATTCAGGTAGTGTTTAATAGATATGGCTTTCTTTTAGAGATATACATTGCATTATCCTAAATATTGTTCCACTAAACTGATATCCAGAGACAATTATCAAGATGTATGTATACGTTTGAACATTTAGACAATCGTCAGTAATATAAGTTGTGTTAACAAGTAAATGTTCAGAAATACAATTTTCAAAATTTTCATCTCCGTCGATGAGAATCAAAAACCCAACAATCTCCACAACCCCATGTTGACAATAACCATGTGCTTATTAGTGATTATCTTCGAGAGGTGGTTCTCGGAGTTCTAGTGAGAAGCCGTGACTAGTGGGGCTAATCCAGTCGGGTAGAGACAGGTATATTCTTCAGACTATGGAAGATGGTCGTGGATTGGTTGAAGTTAGATATTAACACCGTTGGATCACAGCTTAGTGGTCTAGATATTAAGCGTTTGCGCTCAAGACCGAAGATCCTGGGTTCAAGTTTTGCATGTGGGATCGTGGGTTTTCTCTGCCGATGAGTCCCACACTAGGATGAACTGGCCGTCTAGTACAATTAGCTATAATGTGACCATCAAATTACAATCTTAATTGCGATTAGTTTATCTTACTGTCTTAGTTCAATCAGAATACTGTTCTTGTTTTACTGAAAAATATATAAAAATATACATAGACTCGGGGTACCTAGCCTGTCGTATGCCCTGATGGTGTTCACGTGACTTTCGAGTTACATGATCTGCCAAGGGAGATGGGACAGTGTATGGTGCTATTGTTGTGTGTTAGGTTCAAAGAAAATTGCATGTTATATGCATGCGAATCCGCCCCCTTATTGTTATTGTTGTTGTTGTTCCTATACATAGACTGCAGAATGTAAGACGTACAAATAAGACAGCAGAAGATCATAAACACATTATTGAAACAGTTCTTTCCAAACAATAATATATACAAGAAATATTGAAATAAACAACAAACATTGCGGAGAATCTTCTTTCTAATCTTTTATACTTACATCCATTAACAATGATTTCAGTTTATCCATATCATTTATTTCTTCATATAATCGTTCAGATCGTGGAATACCAGGTCTTAGAAAATCACCAAATAAAATCGGATGCTTTGTAAATGTTTCTGCTTCTATATTCTAAGAAAAACGAATTAATTTAATATTTACTCAAACACTCTTTGGATAGGCAAAGATGAATAGTGGCTAGCAGTGGAATCCAGGGTGCGTGTTTCGTCCTATTTATGACACGTCAGCTGGATGTACCTGCATCTCAGAGTTGATGTTCACTCTGGGACTCGAACCCAATACCGTTCGCTTCAAATGCTTTAGGACTCATAGCTAAGTGGATAACGCGACGAAGTTTGGAGCGAACGGTATTGGGTTCGAGATCCTCCACGAGTGGATACCAACTCTGAGATACAGGTACATCCAGCTGACCACTCCTAAATAGGATGGGACCTGTGTCCCGAATTTCACTGCCAGCCATTATCAATCTTTGCTTATCAAGCTTGTAACGTCGGGCAATATCGAGGGAGTCCGCACAAGATGCACATATGCCAACAAGAGACTGATCAATTGCAGTCCTGAATAACAATGGGAAGATACAAGTAAACAACACCAAGTGAATCTTTGGATGGAATTATGTAATTTAAAATTAATTTTTGTCAAGAACCAGTATTAATTGGTTGGTTATTCACTAAAAACCCTGGTTTACAGTGGATAAATTCTTTTAAAGCAAACTCCGTGACTGCTTGACACTGAACACTTTTACTTACAAGATGGGTAAGATAACATATAAATGTCTGAATTTGAATCCAATATTGGAGTTTTCTAATTTCAATGAATTAGTCATTTGATGTGTTCCCTAAACCAATATCGTAGTAATTCACCTTTTCACTACTAACATATTTGGCTCAACTGACTACTGCTTCATACTAGATTTCCAATAAATATATCTCCAAGACAACTAACTCGAGATTTGAAGCGGCTTAATTTTTTAAAATTAAGCTTCAAAAAATTCGTTTATCATTCTACTAACTAAGAAGTCATATTGGAACAAAAATCAGATTTTGATTCATTTATCACTATGAAATGATATCATGTACAGGCACGATTGATAAGAAGAGTCAATCTGATGCAGATGTGAAGGCACGGATCGGTAAAGCAAGTGCAGCATATACACAATTGAAGAACATCTGGAAATCAAAACAACTATCTATAAACCAACATCAAAATCAGCATTTTCAATACAAATGTCAACACCGTTCTACTGTATGGGGTGGAAACCTGGACAACTACGAAAGCCATCATCCAGAACATACAAGTGTTTATTAACAATTGTCTACACAAAATACTTCGGATCCGTAGGCCAAACAACTCACTGAGTGAGAGAACGAACCAGAATCCAGTGGAGGAAGAAATCAGGAAGAATCTCTGTAAGCGGATAGTAGACACATTGAGGAAAGCACCCAACTACGTGTGTCACAAGGCAAGCCCTCATCACTTGGAATCCTTAAGGCCAAAAGAGGAGAGGAAGACGAAAGAACACATTACACAGAGAGGTGGAGAGAGATATGAGAAGATTGAACAACGATTGGATAAAACTAGAAAGAAAGGTTCAGGACAGGGCGGGTTGGAGAATGCTTATCGGCAGCCTATGCTCCATTGGGAGTAACAAGCGTAAGTAGGTAAGTAAGTAACAAGGGACAAACGGAGAAAATAAAAGGTGTTGAGTTTAAATTCATTTTGATGTCAACACTTTGAGCTAAAAAATTTTAATCCATCTGAATTCAGTTACATGATTGATAAATCAATCTTGGAATTCAATAATTTCTATGTATTGAGAAATAATGATAACTTGACTAATGAACAGATAGTTTATTTACTCTACAGAGTAAACGCTCGCTCGCGAAATGGATAGCTCTTGGTTTCGAATCTCGCGAGGCGGGATCGTGGGTGCTCAATGCTGATGAGTCCTTCAGTAGGACAAAACGGCCGTTCCGTGCTTCCAGGTTTTCCATGATGGTCTAGCTTCAATTGAGTCATGATCGTAACTATTGATTAAAATAACCAATGGTTGGAGACTATTGGCGACATGGCTCAAAATCGATCCCCATGGCGTAGGTGTATACACACTCTATCTTCCTTTACACTATGATATTAAAATCGCTTCATATCTATCTTTCTACAAACTATCTCTTCCTTACTTTACTATATCCTTACATAAAATCTTTCCTTCATATATTACCACCATTGAGTTAACTGCTTCTACGAACCCGGTGTTCGTCTTGCTGTGCTAATGAGGTATGGTAACTTGGACCGATGTGTGTGCCTGGTCCTATGTCGTAGCTAACTAACTGACTGACTATAATATCCACAAAACCTCTTCTGAAATTATTTGATATTTGCGACTGAATTTCTTGCTATGAAACTGAAAGCTATAGTTTTGACAAATGGGCAGTTAAAAAACAAAATAATGGTATGACTGATGATTGCAGATAGGTAATCAACCAGCAAAAGGTGTTGTCACTAAACACTGACAAAGTATTATATTACTCATTAGTAGTTCGTCTCAAATGCCACAATAACTCATAAACAGACAAAATTCTTTCGAATTTCTCTCATGTGGTCTCTTCCCAGGAACCCCTATTCATTGCCCTTACTTGGAGAGGGTACTTCAACAAAACTGAGGGATGAATGTGGGCTCTTAACCCAGACTGGCAGATAAAAGGTGTTCTACTAGGAGAATCTAAAAACATCAACTTTATGCAGGCTTTATGATCTTGAGGCAACGCTCAGTTACTCGTTCCAATGGTACAGCACCTTCTGAAGTCACGCCACCACACTGTGAACCAAAATTCCACACCAAAGGCCGGTGAAAGTGGCAATTTTGGAGAACTATGGGTTTCAGATTGGTCATTGGAAAGGTGGGGAATAAATTATCCTGGTTGTAAAACCTCAGATTTGTTGACTCATAGATGACCTATAAATCCGAATTCAATAAACATTTGACTTTCAAACGAACTTTAATAGTCGATATTTTGTATTAATTTGGCTGTACATAAGTATCCCATTTTGTTACATTAAACGAATTCTACCTCCCTAATCACTATTCCATCTTTTGATGTACATTTACTACTGTGGTATTGAATCGATTCTCAATAGTGAAGAGCACTGTACTTGGATTAAGCATCTCTCCAGTGCTCTTTGGTTTTCAAGTAGAAACAGTTTATAACGAATTTAACCCTAAATAATAAAGATGATTTCCACAAAAAACACCTTAACTACAATATATTAACTGTCGTCAATCAATACTAATTATGTTATTAGGAAAAGTTGACCAGTCACAATAAAATCAATAAAATGTAAACCACTGAAATAATTTCTTGAAGACAATTAAAATATCTTATCATTTACACATGGAAAAATAAGGGATGAATAGCTTATTCCGAGAATTGACATTATTTAGACAATTGTTGAAGGCGAAAAAGCACTGGATAGCCTTTAGAGGTGTAAATCACTGGATACCGGCTCAATGATATACATTTCCTGAGAGATCTTATGGTCACGGGGTTGATATATGGTAATATCGTAGATGTGAACTCACAAGGAGTTCCATATTAGCTAGTACTTCCTGGTTTTCACAACCACTGTTTAGGGTCAGTTCGTGTTATAAACTATGAAACTCAACGATCTTCACAAATCTCTCAAACAAAGAGTAACCATCATCATGAAGAAAGATAATATATTAAGTAAGATATGTATTAAAGTAGATGAAAGCAGAAAATAATAAATAACATTAAGATAACTATAAATTAGCGATACACTGTTGTATATAAAACATTCCAGTTTAATGATAATAAAACCATGATTAAATGTTAGAGATCAACGGAACTATATAATCAAGCGAGACTCTAATTGATGGACGACCGTTGAACGAATCTTAAGTGAACTTGAGAAATATTAGCCAGCCGGCAAACAGAGAGTATAGAGTAAAAATATGTCATACAAAACCAAAAAAGTAAAATGGATACACTTCTTATACGTGGTTCAAAAACTTGTCAAGGTTAAAAAGAGGTTCAGAGGTTCTAAAATCGTAATGTATGCAGTAGAGGAAATCATCTATATGGCTACAGAATAGCCGGTCTCTGGAGCCATGATAAGGTCGGAAAAATTCTTTCGACCTCGATCATATAGCTTCAATATTGTTTATGTGCACTCCGGTTGTTGAGTGCACGAAATGCTACTTGTGGATAACGACAAGATGCACATAATCAAGCCTATGTAGGAGTCTGTACGCTCTCCAAACATCCGTATATATTGTAGTACCTGGTTGCAGCCAATGTTACTGGTGTTTTTATTATTCTGTTCGCAATAATTGTCATAATTTGCCTCAGTTAGGAAGTATATATAGGGTTTTCATCACTAACTGACATCAACTATAATGCCAGAAATCTATTTCGTCAAATGGATGAAGAGCTTTCGCGTTAAAATCCGAGATCTATTATCTTATACCTGATTGATTCGTCCACATATTATAGTCTAACCTGTTATCATTCCATATTTAAATATAAAATCTATTAAACAATGAATCGTAAAGACCGAATAGACAGACATACAAAGATGACTTACTTCACCGAAATATTTCAATGCCATTTCTGATAGAATTTGATTGAAAAACATTTTATCTTCTTGATTAATTAATCGATCATGAAATACTCGTTGAGCTTCATGATAGAATAATCGACTAATTGATTGTTTATTACGGATAACACTTACATCACCTTGTAAAACGCCTGTAAAATTAAACATAATAATGATAGATGAATTCAGCATATTAATTATAGTTGAGATCATGAGTCAATTGAAGCCAGATCATCATAGAAAATCTGGAAGCACGGAACGGTCGTTTCGTCTTATTGCGGACTCCTCAGCAATGGGCATTCAACTACTGAAATCACAACAATTCCCACAAAACCCCTTCTGATACTAATTATGATTAGTTGAGATCATGAGTCTATGGAAGCTAGACCACCATGGACTCATGATTTTAACTATTGAAATTAATATAATATCCACAAAACCCCTACTGATACTAATTACGATTACTTCAATTCAGGCCTCATCTGTAGTGATAGTGTAATGAACAAAAAATATAGGTGGGGGACAATCAATAATATTTTACTATAAAATTACAGAGTTCTTTCATCAAATATGAAAAACCATACGTTCAGTACTTCATTTATAAATTCATCATCAACTGTTTTAAACTTCATTGTTCCTTCATTGTCATAATAATGATTCCCTGTTCCCGTTATCTTCGATTTGATCATCTTAACTTTCTGTTGATAAGTATTTCCCCTTTGATTAGTGTTACATACTACTTATGTCGACAGATATAAGTAGCATACATCACAATAGCAATGTTGATATCACTTAGTGGAGAAGGTTATGTTATATTTTATACACTAATAGTAATATTGTAGTGAACGAGAACGAAAAGTACTTGAATATAAAATTATGGGATCTGTTAGTAAAATCTGAGAACCCTACAGTAATACTTCATTTTCAAAATATCTATCAATTGTCTCATACTTTATTGTTCCTTCATTTCCATACCAATCAAACAACTAGAATACTCAAAATTATGGTTATTCAGTATAAAGAACACAGACTCGGATATTGTATTTGACAGAATAAGCTTTTAAACTCCGCCTGGAGCCCCTCTAGGGATACTGCCGGTCCAAAGCCCGGATAAAGAAGGAGGGTTGGACATGGGGTTAGCGACCTCATCTCGTAGAAAACTAACTTGCTAAAAAACGCCAACCAGGAAAATTTATTCAAACTATATAAACTCTGCCCTTGGGGTTAGAAGGTCATCATTTAGAAGAGTTATGACGCCTTATGGTGAAAGCCGAGTTCCTACGGAAATCATGAGTCTGATGCCCCTTCGGGTAACCAGAGCAACCATCTATTTATATACATGGAATGCTCGTATAATGTGGGAGACCGGGAGAGTCTTCCAAATTATTGTTGCTTCAGCTTTTAAAAACTTGTAGATTTAGTTCTCTTCAGATCTAATTGAATATTTACTCCTTTCCTTACCTTGAATACATTTGACAAATCTCTTAAATTGAATACATAATGAGATTTAGTTGGGGTAGGTAATAGTTCTTTAGCCATTCTAGAATATATTTCAACAGCGGCATTAACAATTGAATCACCAACACTACGGACACCTTGAGGAAATTCAAGTAGATAACCCTGAGAAGAGAAAAAAATTACAAAAGTAATTCAATGAAAATTTATGTATGGATACATGAAATTAAGTCACTATCGTGTTACTTGAACTAATATAAATGAAACTTAGTTTTTTGTTTTTGAAAGTCCGCCACTTAAATTGTTAATTAATCGCTATGAAATCATTCAAACCAGTTATTGAAGATGTCAGAGGAGAATAAATCCGACCTCAGTCAGTCAGTCAGTTAGCTACAACATAGGACCAGGCACATATACACATCGGGTCAAGTTGCCATACCTCGTTAGCACAGCAAGCTGAACACCGGGTTTATAGAAGCAGTTAACTCAACGGTGGTAATACATAAAAGATTTTATGTAAGGATATAGTAAAGTAAGGAAGAATTAGTTCGTAGAAAGAAAGATATGAAGCGATTTTAACCTCATAGTTTATGGGAAAACAGGGAGTGTATACACCTACGCCATGATGATCGATTCTGAACCATGTCACCCACAGTATCTAAACATTGTTTACGATAGTCACAGCGGCCCCCAACCAAGTAGTCTGGATCTATCAACATGGCTAAGACTACTTACGCGAGATTAATAATAAAACTCTCATTTGTTTCTTACAGTCGACCATCAAAGGTTACTTTTTGAATTTTATGATGAATATCTTTATACTTTGAGTTTCAATTTCTAATGTTAGATAGTCTGAATACTGATAATCTGGATAATTAATTATGTGACTAAATTAATAAGTACAAGTTAGTCAACTGTTTTACCACAGTTACGTTATACCAGACGATTGATGTACTAGCAACTGATATTACAGTATACCTATTTAATTGTTGTTTATTTCTTAGCTAAAATACGTATGCCATAGGTGTATTAGAGCCTTCAACTAATATAAACAAACTACAAAATATTAGTTACTTACTTACGCCTGTTACTCTCAATCAAGCATAGGCCTCCGACCAGCATTCTACAACCCACTCTGTCCTGAACCTTTCTTGTGCTATCCAATCGTTGCTCAATCTTGTTAAATCTGTCTACATTTCTCTGTGTAATGTGTTCTTTGGTTATCCTCTACTCCTTTGGCCTTAAGGATTTCAAGTAAAGGCTTGCCTTGTGACGCACGTAGTTGGGTGCTTTCTTCAGTGTGTATCCTATCCACTTACAGTGATTATTCCTAATTTCTTCCTCCACTGGAATGTCGTTTGTTCTTTCTCACAGTAGGTTGTTACTGATAGTGTCTGGCCAACGGATCCGAAGTATTTTGTGTAGACAACTGTTAATAAACACTTGTGTGTTCTGGATGATGGTTTTCGTAGTTGTCCAAGTTTCCACCTCATACAATAGAACTATGTTGACATTTATATTGAAAATGCTGATTTTGGTATTGGTTGAGAGACAGTTGTTTTGATTTCCAGATGTTCTTCAATCGTATATATATACTGTTCTTGCTTTGCCGATCTGCACCTTCACATCTACATCTGACCCACCATGATGCTGATCAGATATGTAAAGGTTTCTACACCTTCCAAAGCTTCTGCGTCAAATGTGATTCAATTGTTGCATGCTGTGTTGTGTGTGAGAATCTTGCTTTTCCTTTTGTGTATGTTGAGACGCACTGATGCTGGGGCTCCATAGTGTTGTCCTTACCACATTATCAAATGCTTTCTCGTAGTCAATGAAGTTTATGTAGAATGATAAATTCCATTTAATCGATTGTTCCACAATGATCTATAGTGTTTTGCGATTTGGTCAGTACACGATCAATCCTTACGGAATCCAGCTTGTTGGTCTCGATGTTAACCGTCTAGGGAGTCCAACCACAAAATATCAAATAACTGAACTGAATTCAATTAACTTCCAAGCAATAACTACATAAATTCCGCTCAATCATTAATTATCATTTCAGAAGGAAGAAAGTGAAGATAATTAGCTTGAGTTTACCTATAGGAATTCACTTATAGCTTACATTATGTTTTAATATATATAAATGAATGTTCAACAACGATCAGAATAAAAAAAGTGACTGATAAATTGTAATAAAAAGTGAATGTGTAAAAAAAATGATGGCGAGACTCTAATTTATGGACGACCGTTGAACGAATCTTTAGTGAACTTGATAAGTATTAACCAATCGGCAAACAGTCAGTATAGAGTAAAAATATATTATACAAAACCGAGGAAATAAAGTTGATACACGTCTTATATGTGGTTCAAAAACTTGTCAAGGTTCTAAAATCGTAATACATGAAGTAGAGGAGATCATCCATATGGCTACAGAATAGCCGGTCTCTGGAGCCATGATAAGGTCGGAAAAATTCTTTCGACCTCGATCATATAGCTTCAATATTGTTTATGTGCACTCCGGTTGTTGAGTGCACAAAATGCTACTTGTGGATAACGACAAGATGCACATAATCAAGCCTATGTAGGAGTCTGTACGCTCTCCAATCATCCGTATATATTGTAGTACCTGGTTGCAGCCAATGTTACTGGTGTTTTTATTATTCTGTTCGCAATAATTGTCATAATTTGCCTTAATTAAGAATTATATATAGGGTTTTCATCACTAACTGACATCAACTATAATGCCAGAAATCTATTTAGACAAATGAATGAATGGCTTTCGCGCTGAAATCTAAGATCTATTATCTTATACCTGATTGATTCATCCACAAATTATAATCTCGCCGTTTTTTATTTGTTATAGCCACTCAATGATCACATTTTGTAAAAGCACTGAAATTGACGCCGTAACCTTGATATCTCTCACATACTTCTAATTGAATCGTCTATCAATTAGTATCACGTCAAAAGTGATTATTTCAAAATTAACATTATTTACATTTCACAGATTGAAATCATGAGTCAGTTGAAGCTAGACCATCATTGAAAACCTGGAAGCATTGGACGGCCGTTTCGTGAGAAGCCGTTACCAGTGGAATTCAACCAGGTCTGTTGTGAGATAGAAACTCACTGAAGACAATGGTGTATGGTGGCGCAACTTCGTGGATTGATTGAAGTTAAACATTAACACAGTGGTCTAGTGGTTAAGTGCTCGCACGCGAAGCCAGTAGGTCCTGGGTTCGAGCCACGTGTGGTGCGGGATCGTGGATGCGCACTGTTTAGAAGTCTCATACTAGGACAAAACGGCCGTCCAGTGCTTCCAGGTTTTCAATGATGGTCTAGCTTCAACTGAATCATGATTTCAATCTGTGAAAATTTCTAAAAAATCTTCACAAAACCCATTGTGATTATTTACATTTATAATTGAAGAAAATATTTGTTTTAAACTTATTTCTGATGGTGAAGGTATAACAAATAATGCAAAATGTCTTATTAATCTTGAAGTGATTGAATTTCTTCCACCACCTGGTGGACCACATGCTGAACATAATATCATATTTTTAATATTAATCCATTCTAATTTA